AGGTCATGATCCCAGGGACTTGGGATTGAGCCCCACATCGGGCTCCTTGCTTAGCAGGGAGTGGGCTTCTCCCTCTCCCTCTGCCCCTCCCCCCACTCATGCTTTTTCTCTCACTCTGCTCTCTCTTTCAAGTAAATAAATGAAATTTTCAAAAAAAAAACCTGCAAGAAAAATAAAATCCTCAAGTGGCAAATTTTCACATCCCTCTCTCAGCAGCTGATAATAAGCAGCCCCCAAATCAGTAAGGATGCAGGAAATTTGGACAGTTAAACCATCTGAATGTAGAAATAGATACATAATTGTATAAAGTACCTATCATATAGAAGGAGATACAAAATAAATACATAAAATATATGTATAATTATACATTTAGATATTAGATATGTTAAAAAATAAAACTAATACATTCTCCACTTATGTAAAATGAACATAGAGCTACAGAAATATGTATATATTATTACATACATTTATACACAGAAATCCATAGGTTATTTTACCAAACAGATAGAGGAAGGTCATTATTTTTAAGGACATATCATATGTTTATAGAATTTAACCACGAATTGGACATAAAGCAAGTCTCAATATATTTCAGAAGAGCAAAACCCACAAAGGATGTTCTTTGATCATAATTGCAAATGTGCTAGATCATTGAACAAATGATAACTAACATTTCCACCTATGTTTGGTAATTGAATAGCCTTTTGAACAAAAGTATAAAAGGAAATCTCAAAGGAAAAATCAGTGTGAACTGAATGAAAATGATACTGAATATATGGCATTAAAATAGACCTCTTTCTGTCCTAGGAATTTGCCTTTGGATAGAAAGATTTATGGTGTTCAAATCATCCCATATTAATGGAGAAGGTGTTACACCTTAAACATCTCTAGAAATGCCACTTATCTCTGTCACCTCACTAGGTGTCAGTATGGGGTTTAAATTATGCACATAAATGGAATAATTCCAAGCTGAGTCTAATGCTTGATCTGTGTGGGATCTCCATGATGCTTATTAATTTTATTAATTTTTAAATTTTTATTGTATTATGTTAGTCACCATACTATACATCATTAGTTTGTGATGTAGTGATCCACGATTCATTGTTTTTGTATAACACCCAGTGCTCCATGCAGTATGTGCTCTCCTTAATACCCATCACTGGGCTAACCCATACCCCCAACCCCACCCCTCTAAAACCCTCAGTTTGTTTCCTGGAGCCCATAGTCTCTCATGGTTCATCTCTCCCTCCAATTTCCCCCCCTTCATTTTTCCCTTCCTTCTCCTAATGTCCTCCGTGCTATTCCTTATGTTCCACAAATAAGTGAAACCATATGATAATTGACTTTCTCTGCTTGACTTATTTCACTTAGCATAATCTCCTCCAGTCCCATCCATGTTGATGTAAAAGTTGGGTATTCATCCTTTCTGATGGCTGAGTACTATTCCATTGTATATATGGACCACATCTTCTTTATCCATTCATCTGTTGAAGGGCATCTCAGCTCTTTCCAGAGTTTGACTTTTGTGGACATTGCTGCTATGAACATTGGGGTGCATATGGCCCTTCTTTTCACTACTGCTGTGTCTTTGGGGTAAATACCCAGTAGTGCAATTGCTGGGTCATAGGATAGTTCTATTTTTAACTTTTTGAGGCACCTCCACACTGTTTTACAAAGTGACTGTACCAACTTGCATTCCCACCAACAGTGTAAGAGGGTTCCCCTTTCTCCACAACCTCTCCAACATTTGTTATTTCTTGCCTTGTCAATGTTTGCCATTCTAACTGGTGTAAGGTGGTATCTCAATGTGGTTTTGATTTGAATTTCCCTGGTGGCTCATGATGATCAACATTTTTTCACGTGTCTGTCAGCCATTTGTATGTCTTCTTCGGAGAAGTGTCTGTTCATGTCTTCTGCCCATTTTTTGACTTGATTATTTGTTTTTTGGGTGTTGAGTTTGAGAAGTTCTTTATAAATCTTGGATACCAGCCCTTTATCTGTAGTGTCATTTGCAAATATCTTCTCCCATTCTGTGGGTTGCCTCTCTGTTTTGTTGACTGGTTCCTTTGCTGTCCAGAAGCTTTTTATCTTGATGAAGTCCCAAAGGTTCATTTTTGCTTTTGTTTCACTAGCCTCTGGAGATGTATCTTGAAAGAAGTTGCTGTGGCCGATGTCAAAGTGGTTACTGCCTATGTTCTCCTCTTGGATTTTGATGGATTCCTGTCTCACAATGAGGTCTTTCATTAAGTCTTCTCAACAGCCTTGCCAGACTCTGTCCAACTTCATGCTCCCTGCGGGGCAGTGGGGGTGGTGGGGGTGGCAGTGGGGAGGAAGATGGTGGAGGAGTAGGGGACCCTATTCCGACTGGTCCCAAGAATTGAGCTGGATACCTACCAGACCACTCTGAACACCCACAAAATCAGCCTGAGATGTAAGAAGATAGATCTGGATCTCTACAAACAGAATATCACAGGAGGTTCGTTTAGAGGTAAGAAGCAGGGAACCAGGTTTTGAGGTACGAAGCGGGGAACCATGATTCCATGGGCAAATAAACAGATAAACGGAAGGGGGAGGGCGTCTGGCCGTGGGGATCCTACACCGCAGGTGAGCAATAGCCTCGCGCGCTGGGGACGGGGCACAGACTCGCAGACCAGTAGCGGCACAGAAAGGACTTTAGGGCAGGCCCTGAATGGAAACCCAGAGCAACGGGGCCGTGTGTGCAAACTGGGGGTGGGGCCGCGTGTGCAAACTGGGGGTGGCTGGTGGTTTTAGAAGCACAAAGGGCAGAGGTGTGCCCTGACCTGGAGGCGAGGACTGGGAATGCTGCTGAGGGGCGCACAACCCAGGACTGCAGTTTATAGCAGCACAGACGGAAACGGAGATGGTGTGGCCTGGAGAGCTCACTGAAGAACAGGCTGTGATCTCTCTGCTCTGAGGCAGAGGGTTGGAAATGGGCTCCTCTGCTCTCTCAGAAGAGATGCGGAAAGCCGCCAGTGAACAAAAGCCCCCAGAAAACGGTTTTCACTGAGCCCATCCCCTGCCACAGGTGGGCAGGGCAACTCTGCCCAAACAGGGCTGCCTGAGTAACAGGGTGGGAGACCCCTCCCCCAGAAGACAGGCCGGGAAAACAAGAGGCCAGGAACCCTAAGTCCCTAGAAAACAGGTGCATCTTGCTTGGGTTGTGGTCAATAATTTGGACTCTGCACATTCCCTCAACCACCCGTCAACAGAATGACTAGGAGGAGGAACCCCCAAAATAGGAAAGACTCAGAGATTATGACTTAGGATGCCACCAATATACAAATGGATTCAGATATAACCAAGATGTGGAAGATGGAATTCAGGCTAGCAATTATGAAGACTAGAATGGAGAAATCAATTAATGGCAACATAGAGTCTCTAAGGGCAGAAATGAAAGCTGAATTGGCAGAACTTAAAAATGCTATCAATGAGATCCAATCTAATCTAGATAATCTAACAGCTAGGGTAAGTGAGGCAGAAGAACGAATCAGGGACCTGGAAGACCATTTAATAGCTAATTTTAATTCATAAAGTTCATAAGCTTCTCTCTCAAGGGACTCCTGGACAACACCCAGGGAGTGTGGCACCACCAGGAACCTGAGAGAGGGTGAGGAAGAATCAGAGGGAGATAGGGCTAGAGAGAAGAAGGACAAAGAGGAATTGCAAGGAGGAAAGGGGGAGGTGGTCCAGGTGTGTGGAGGGGGAACCATGGGCCAGGGAGGCACTCCTGTACCGGGGGGCCTTGCTCAAGTTCCAAAACCAGGCGCCAGGTCCTGCAGCCTGGAACTGGCACAGATGCATTGCTGATCTTGACCCAAAGTATTCAAGAATAAGGTCTGTATTCTCCCTCTGGAGCTAGCAATGCACAGCAGGATGGGGGGTTGTTATCCTCATGTCCACTATGGATCCTGATGCAAGATAGTAGGTGGATGGTTTCCAACCCCAAGCATTTGGGGCACCTGGGTGGCTCAGTCTTTAAGCGTCTGCCTTTGGCTCTGGTCATGATCCCAGGGTGCTGGGATCAAACCCCGCATCAGGATCCCTGCTCAGTGGGAGGCCTGCTTCTCCCTCTCCCACTCCTCCTGCCTGTGTTCCCCCTCTCGCTGTCTCTCTCTCTGTGTCAAAAAAAATCTTAAAAGAAACAAAAACCAACCAAACAAAACCCAAGCATTCTCTTACATCCAAGCAGAAACGTCATACTTCACCAAGCTTCTTCTAGTTGTGACCAGATGGCAATTAGTATTTGAAGGTAAAATGGGTTCCTTACCAGACTGATGGAAACAATTTCATCCATCTTCCATGTCTAAATCACTTTTCATTGAAAATATTATCTAAGGAGACATGCAGTAATTCATAATGCATGTGTAGCTCCCTCTAGGTTTGCATTTGGACCCTGTCACCTATGTGTCCCCAAACACTTGATTGGCAAAGTCGAAAATACACTGTCATGATCAAGATCATGGTGCTAGATGATGTCTTACGTAAATGGAATTTCATATATCCTGACCTGACCAGAAATTATTCTGTTCTTAAGAGGAAGAAGGAAAGAAAATATAGTGTAATGGGTGTCAGTTTTTTATTTACTACGAACATTTTGGTGGGTAAACACAATTATGTTACTTTGCATTATGTCAATTTGCAGTCTGTATTTTGGAGGGGAGTGGTGCAAGCACTACAAATTACCTAATGACACTGACAAAATTGGTTTCATTCTTCATTGAGGCAGAAAGGAGAAGGAAAAGATTTCTTTGTGTCTGAGGCACCGTCACAAAGACCTGTCCCAGTCTGGAGAACAGGCTTGGCGGGACCCGAGCACCCTCAGTGCCTGCAGCTGAGCAGCCATGGCTTTGAGAATTGCAGGGATTCCCAGGGCAGCTGGCAGAGGGCGCCCGCCCATCGCCCCCGGGAAGGGGTGATTTCCCTGCGTGCCCAGCAAAGGCCAGAGGGCAGAGGGCGTGCCCTGGCCAAGGCATTGTCTGAGCCAGGGTGCCTCAGGGCAGGAAAGGCTTCTGCCGCGCCCTGAGGACCCAGCGCCCCTCCGAGAGCCAGGGCTGCATTGCCAGTAAGTTCTGCAGCCACCCCGGGGAGAACCTGGGCCCTTTGCAGCAACTTGGTGCCTCCTGAGGTGCCACGGAGAAGCTGCCTTGTTGGCTGAGTGCTGAAGAGGGGGCTCTGGGTGGCTTCCCAGGACATGCTGGTGGGTGAGCAGCACAGTCGCTTGCATTTTCTGAGCTGTTCCCCTGGTTCATTCCTCCTTTTCCCTGAGGGTATTTGAACAAGACCTATTTTACCCAGGGATCCTTGGATTGAGGGGTCCCACGATGCCACATCAGAAATGCTGTGGTGGTTTGTTACAGATGCCGCTTGTTTCTGGGGAGAAATCCTGACCCAAATTCAGAGGAAGGGGAGCCGCATTCAGTTGGGACAGGAATACAGGCACTGCTGACTCTCAGGACCTTCTAGAAGGAGGAGCTGGGATCCCACTTCCCAGGTTCTGCTGGAACCAGAGCCCCAGGTAAAAACACAAACTGCCCTCCAGTTTGTAACCTTAAAGGGAGAAACTCTCAGGGAATTATCAGCAAATGTCGGGTTTCTTTGGAAGGAAAGAGATTTGAATGTAGGACAGAGAAGCTGTGATTAAACCTTAGGCACATTGGAGAATATCAGAGAGGCTCGGTGTTTTCAGGAGGAAAGGGGGCAATTTAGAAGGCTGTTAAGAACTAAAAGTCCATTGGAGGCATCTGGGAGTTAAAGTGTTGTGGCTTCTCATGGGTGAGTCCTGTTGGAGGAGGAGGGTGGGTGAGGATGGAGAGATGAGAATAGAGTCCTGCTAGCGGGAATAATGGAGTATCCATGTGTCAGGTCAAGTCCATGTCTTCCTGTTGGGTCCCCAGTTTATTTGGAGTGGTAGTGTGTGGGGGCTCCCCCTGCCCAAACCTCCTGCCTCTGTTTTGTGACATTTCCCGTTATGACTTACCACATTTCCCCCTTCTGAGCAAGATTTGCCTTGATGAGCAAAGTAAGTCAGTCAGAGAAGGACAAATACTATATGATTTCCGTCATTTGTGGACTTTATGAAATAAAACATATGAACAAAGAGAAGAAAAAAGAGGCTAACCAAGAAACAGACTCTTAACTATAGAAAAGAAACCGATGGTTTTCAGAGGGGAGGTGGTTGGGGGGATGGGTTCAGTAGGTGGTGGGGATTAAGTCATGCAGTTGTGATGAACGCCAGGTTTGCCTGGAAGTGTTGAGTCACTAGATTGTACACCTGAAATGAATATAACACTGTATATTAACTAATTGTAATTTAAATAAAAAAGAAGTTTCCCTGGAGGAATTTCTGACCAACAGCCAAGTTCTTTGGATTTAGTGGTTTTGCATTTCAGTGCCAGCAAAAGGCCTTTTTCTGGTTGGCATGGCTCCTCTCAGAGGGAACGTGCATCGCAGTTGTAAACGACTTAAGTGACACTTGAGGCAAAGGGAGAGTTAGAAGGGAGAAATTCTCACATACTTCCTGTGTGACGTCTGTGTCTGCTCAAGATTGAGACCAGTGAGCCAGCATCACCTCACTGGGGACAGTGTTTGTACAAAGGATTGAGTGACAGCAAGTACAGAACCAAAGCCACAGGACAATTCCAACCCATATATCGGTTCTAAACCAGGACCCTAGTCTTTAAGTAGCCAACTGAAATCTCCACTGGCACTTGTTGGACTGAAGGAAGAAAAGGGTTCTCCCTATGAAGGCAAACCCGGAGTCCTGTATGCCTCCTGGAAGTGTCCTCCCCCAGTGGCTAGGAGCAAAATATCAAATACTGCGGGAATGCACTGAATGAAATCACTGAGCACATTTGGGAACATAGAGTACACTGAAGAACATGAAGCAATAGTTAGAGAACTTGTTGCAAGAATAGGAATACTTCTGGGACATTTCAAAACTATTGTTTTTTCAAAAGAACTTTAGAACTATATGGGTTATCAGTAGTGATCTGTTATGTTGTAAATTCAGAAACCATGCATTTGGATTAGAATCAGGATTCAGTTAATAGTTTAGGTAAAAGAAAGACTTGAATTCTGAACCTTCTAAACCTCTAGAAATGCTCACAAGATCAAAATGAGGCTATTTTTTTATTATATTAATCACCATACATTACATCATTAGTTTTTGATGTAGTGTTCCATGATTCATTGTTTGCATATAACACCCACTGCTCCATGCAGAATGTGTCCAAAATGAGGCTATTTCTGAAAAGGTTATAATCCAAAGAAGTCTCCTTCTTTTGCAAGAAACTGGGATATGCAGAAAATGGCATGTTCTTTGCACAAAAGAGGTAGAAGGAGCGACAGTGAGAAAAGGAATGCAGGCCTGGTCTGGACATGTGGGGAAAGCTGTCTCCCCAGATGTTTTCTATTTCAATTTGGGAAGTATTTACCTTCTTGTCACCAGATGGTGTACTGGTCCAGTCAGGGTTTGGTGCCTTCTTTAAATATGTCCCATGGACCCAAGAGTCCATTCCCTGGGATTTGGCAGCACAAGGTTTGGTTAGCAGTATGTGATAAGGGCCTCTCAAGGGAGGTTGAAGAGAATCTCTGTGGAGGTGTCTTTTCCAATAGAGAGACTCTCCAGGTTGCAAGGTGTGATGGTCAAGGTAAGTGTCCCCTGGGAGTAGACTGTGAAAAGACTGCTCTGCTACAACATGGTTAGTTTTAATAGAAGCAACTAGATCTTTGCATTATTGAAATATATCCCCTTTTCCCACCTGTGGGTCAAAAGGGGCAGTGGTCAAATGCATGGATGTCCAGTGACTATCTCCAAGGGTGAGAGTCTGAGTTCCAAAGGGGGTGGGCTTGAGATTTAGAAGGAGTAACGGCAATGCCTTTGGCCCAGGTAGTTGGAAGATCTTTGCACATTTAGCTCATTGAGTCCCCAGTATTGCCATTATTGTATTGGACCATCTGTGAAGATAGGGGTTAGTAATGTACAATGAAAGTGTTGTAAAACTGGCCAAACATCACAAATGGGGTGAGGTCCCTGCACGGTAGAGTGGGTTTTCTGGTCACTCTGTAGTTCAAGAGGGCTCCCCTGGGAGGGATGATTTTTTGGAGAGCCTTTATTCAGTCTACCACACTGGGCTTAGCCTTGGGACTTCATTTATTAAAGGATCAAGGAGCCCTGTTGATGTCTGAGCCCATGAGAGATACTCTCTTCCGGATATCATATGGGGTACCAATGAACTCTGAAGGTGAAAAATGTCTATGTCTGATCACTGTCATCAACAAGCAACATTTAGGCAGAGACTTCACTAAACCCAATTCCTGTTGCCATCAACTGACATTCACGAAGGTACAAGCAGGCAAAGTTTATGTTCAAACCAGTCAGCAACACTGTCTCAAAATTATTTCCAAATGAGATCATGTCAGGACAGACACCTTGTAGTGGCTAGCGTATAGTCAATGCTCAATAAAAGCCAGGAGTTTGAAGGATTTCTCATAATCTAATCAATGAGTTGAGACTTGAGATATGATTCCCTTGGCTGTCTTTTGCCAGGATGCCAGGCTATATCCAGCTACGCCACAAGAGTCAAGCATGCCAATATTCCAGGCTACTTGAAAATCATGAGAGACTCTGATAATAGGCCATTGAGCGGTATGGATCTTGATATCATCGGCTCCATGGACAAGAATAATCCGCTAATGTGCTGGGGCTTAGCACTGAACCGTAAGAGGAAGTTGCTCCTGTATTTCCTCTCTCCCCTCCCAGCTGTGTCTTATAAACTGCTGTTGCTTTAACCACAGGTTGTCCAGAGAAACATCAACTCTCCTCCCACAGGATTATGATCCTCCCAACTGTGCACCAGAGACTCGGAACTACAATGGCATAGATGCCACCAAAAGAAAAGAAGGAAGGAACCAATTTTTTGGCAGATACGGAACTGAGTCTTTGTGAAGAAGCTGAAGGCCTTTCTGGATCAATAATAACATTTTCTGGTAAGGAAAAAATGCATGTGGTAACATGGAAGTGATTCTAGTAAATGAGAAGTTGTAAGAGTGTGTTTAAATGTAGAGAACAGAGCACTAAGAGTCCCATCGTCTTGCCATAATTGGATAACTGCTGATTCAACCCTGGATAAATGTCCGTTTGACAGGAAAATGGACTGTTCTACTTTACAAAGGTTGATAGAAATATAGCAAAAATCTGTGATAGCATTTCCTTGCATTGGCTTTGAAGACAACAAATGCAGGCTGGAATTTGTGCTGCATGCTCCATGAACGGCTTTTGTTATTTATTTCCCTCTCACCGCCTCAGTCACTTTATAGGTAAAACAAAATGCCTGGGGGTGCCTGGGTGGCTCACTCTGTTAAGTGCCTGGACTTTTGATTTTGGCTCAGGTCACGATCTCAGGGTTATGATCTCAGAATTGTGAGATCAAGCCCCACATCGGGCTTGTCAGCCTAGCCTAGGGCCCGCTTAGGATTCTCTCTCTCCTCCCTCTGCCCCCCCCATCCCACTCCACTCATGCTCTCTTTTGCTCTCTCTCTCTCTCAAAAAATTTAAAACAAAATGCCTGCCTCCGAAGCGTGTTGAGATAATGAAACAAGATACTGCATAAAAAACACAGTGCTGAGTGCACACCAATTGCTCAAACATCTTTCCACTGGTAAAGTTTCCCTTAACACACTGGAAATCACTAAGACTTTAGAAATCACCTACTTAAATTCTCTCACTTTTACAGATATCTTTGGGAAATATTTTGTTAAACATGTGTATATATAAATTTCTACTTAGATAATGTCTTGACCTAAAAGAGTCAGTGATTCTCAGATTTGACCCTGGAATCATATGAACTTCCCACAGGATCCAAAGTCAGGAAATGGCTGTGTTCAATGCAAAATGGCGGATCTTCAGAGTTTCATGGTCTCCATAAAGGCCTATCTGTACAAATTTACCCAGAAAATCAATCGTAGACCAAAGAGATAGAAAGAAGAAATGTTACTGGCAAAAAAATTTTACAGTTTAATTGAAAAATCCTACTCTGTGATATCTTGATTAGTATTTTATTAGTAATGATTGTTTGCATGTGTAAGACCTATTCACTGATTATGCACATAATGCAGATAATGCTGAAGTGTATATTCAGATTAGATCTATTTTATGATATTTAGTTTTAGATTTATTGGCATGTTAATTTGATGATATGGCAAATTTATCTATGGAGGTATGGGAAATCAGAACAACTCATGAAAACATCATTTTTCAGTTTGGAGGAGAAAAGGAAGGAGATTTGCATTAAAAACTATCTGCTCTATTATCTGCGCTATTCTCCTTAGGAAGCAAGAATGTTCCAGGTGTCCCATGTTTTGATAATCTTTCCAATTGATCATTAAACTGGGACCAAGAAAGGTCAAAATGATGGAAGTGAAGACTAGAATGCTTCAGACTGATGGGGGCTGAATTCAACCCCAAGAGCCAGGAGCACAGTGACAGGGCATTAAAAGAGGCAAAAATAAGCCACCAAAATATTGGTGGCTCCAATCCAATAGCTTTTCTAGTTTCTTTGGATATCAAACAGTGAAAGCCTTCTGCCATAAACAGTTGTGAAGTTTGATTTTTAACGTGCAATGTTTACTGAGTCCTAGCTACCCACCAGGCACTGTGCTAAGGTGCTCACTTAAACCCCACAATTAACCAATGAAGAAGATACTACCATTACTCTTATTGCACAGATGAAATGGAACTTGGAGATACTAAGCAACTTGGCAAAGGGCATCCAGAGAGGCAAGTGTGGATGCAAGTATGTGTGTTGCATATGTGCATACACACACGTGCACACGTGTGTGTGTGTGTGTGTGTGTGTGTGTTTAGGAGAGAAGTTGAGTCTCACTTTCAGCAAAATGCTAAATCATAAGCATGGCCCCCACTACTTTCCCTCTCCCCACCCTTCTCTCCTCTTGCTACCTCCACCATACTTGCCCAGGTGGTCCCTCTTCTTTCTTCCTTGACATAATGGAGAATTTAATACCAATGGTATGGCCAGAAATAGCTCTTCCTGGGCTACAGTAAATTGCATTTGCACCAAATGGGCCTCTTGCTTCTCCAGACGTCACTCTGAGCAGTAAAGAAGGCTTGACAACAACAATGAGGGGATGGTACACCCTGCACCCTTTGTTCTGCTGTTTATGTTATCACCATGCGGCAGACTCAGGCACCCTTTGCACCTGCGGAGTTTTCCATCCCATACAAGGCAACTAAGTAGGACTGGAAGGCAAAAAGATAAGGGTATTCATCTTCAGCAAGAAACCCTTATTGAAGAAGGCAACACAAAGGAGGCTGAATAGCAGAGAGGTTGAGTACGCAAGCTCTGAGGTCAGGCCATACAGGTGGAAACCTGGCCTCTGCCACTATGAGATGGATGACCTTGGTCAAGTTGCTTAAGTCTACAGAGGTCTCAGTTTTCCCATCTGTAAAATAGAGATAATAATGGCACCAACCTCACAAGCTTGTCATGAATGCTAAATGATATCAGGAATGCAGAATGCCTGGTCTACAGCAAGCACTGAAAAACACTGGCTTCTGTTATCGAAGACAGCTCTGTAAGTCATGTTAAGTAATAAGAATGAAATACACAGGCTCTACCCACACCATCTAGGTAGGTTAGGGAGACAAGGCACATATATTGAAAACAATTAATAATATAAGGTAGAAAACTGTCACGTGAGGAATACTGGTGCATATTATAGAAATTCAGAGGAGGAAATAACAGTATTATTTAAAAAAAATGTTAAATTACAGATGGCAGTAGGAAGGTGACTTTACCAATGTCACAAAGCTAGTTTTGAAGGAGTCCAGAGTAAAGTCCAGGTCTCCTGATTCATGAAGTAAAACTATTTCATGAACCTAAGCCACTAGGGTACTAATGAAAATAATCTTAACAAAAGCATTAGTTAACACTTTGAAGGTACTGTCTACATGCTGGGCATTTTACACACATTATCTTATTAAATCCTCATAATAACCCTAGGAGACAGATATTATATTCCTCCCCCATTTTACAGATGAGAAAATTGAGGTGCATGAAGGGTAAGTGATTTCTTAATCACTTAAAGTTGCTGAGCCAGGACTTAAGGTTCCTAACCAATTATAATGAAGAACTGAGGGGAAAGGAAGGCAGGGAAGCCGGAAGGAAGGGGAATGACAGACTAAATCCTAGAGCTAGAAATGGACATTCAAGAAAAGTGAGTGGACTGCTTTTACTGGAAGAGTAAATTCAAGGAGAGGAGTTAGAAAATATAGTAGAATCGAGTATGAAGCAGACAGAAGCAGGGCTTGAATGTCCATTGTGGCAGCAAATACTCTGTCTATTGTTTGGTTGGGGGAGAGGGTAGGGACAGAAGATGGGAGCTTGACAGTTTTATAGTTGTTAGTTTTGTTTTGTTTTGTTTTGTTTTTAAGAATAATCTGATCATAGACAGAATGAAGAGGAAGAGGCCCGTGGCAGGGAGACTGGTGAGGGCTGACTGCCACAGCTCCAAAGAAGAATGGGTCTTTGCCAGGTGTTCCCCAACTTCCTGGGGGGGGGGGGCACACAGCCACAATCCACTTCCCAATCTCACCACAGAGCATCCAAAGAAACTAACGCTCTCCACTCATCTCTCCCCACAGGCTGCAGAACTTCCACATCCATATCAGTTGACAAAGCCCTTTGGGAATCATGATGATTTTTTTCCGATACCAGACATTCAGATTCATCTGGCTTGCCAAGCCAACTGGCCGGTACCTTCACAAAGATCATCAGCTTTGGGCGCCTCTGACTCTTGCTGACTTTGAAGCCATAAATCGCTGTGAGAAGTCACTGCCTAAGAACTTTAACTTTGCTGGGGATGTGCTGGACCAGTGGTCCCAAAAGGAGAAGGTATGACATGACAGGCTTCTATTAGATGCTTGGCATCCACGTATATCTCAGGCTTCCATTTCCTTGTTCCGTGGTCCATTTGCCACTCTTAATTCAGTTCTTTCATCCCTCTTGGTTACCTTTGTTTGTTTTCCCCTTGCCCTCCACTCTCCCCAGGCAAGATCTTTAATCCACAACTCCACATGCTGTCTTTCTCTGGATCCTCCTCAGTCCCCCTTATGGTGATTACTTAGAGAGTCCTGCCTCTTTTCCTTCATTTTCTCCAAGTCCCATGCAGCAGCTCTTTGCTCTCCATTCATCGGTTTGGGCTGGTCACAGGCTTATCCAAAAAGCAGTAATTTGAGCTTTTTTTTTTTTAATTTATTCATTTTTTAATTTTTTTTATTATGTTCAGTTAGCCACTGTATAGTACATCATTAGTTTTTGATGTAGTGTTCAGTGATTCATTAGTTGCATGTAACACCCAGTGCTCATCACAATATGTACTCTCCTTAATACCCATCACCCTGTTACCCCATCCCTGCACCCTCCTCCCCTCTGAAACCCTCAGTTTGTTTCCCAGGATCCATAGTCTCTCATGGTTCGTCTCCCTCTCTGATTTCTCCCCCTTCAGATTTCCCTCCCTTCCCCTATGGTCCTCCGTGCTCTCGTTTATGTTCCACATATGAGTGAAATGATATGATAATTGTCTTTCTCTGCTTGACTTACTTCACTTAGCATAATCCCCTCCAGTTCCATCCATGTCAATGCAAATGGTGGGGATTCATCCTTTCTGATGGCTTAATAATATTCCATTGTATATATGTACCACATCTTGTTTATCCATTCATCTGTTGAAAGGCATCCCTGCTCCTTCCACAGTTTGGCTATTGTGGACATTGCTACTATTTTAAAATAATAGTCATCACTGGCGTGATTAGGAGAGAATCCAACATTGAAAAGAATAAAGCAAAAAGCCTTGAGTGTTTGCAGTGTAGCCACAGGTCAAATCCCTGCTTACTGACCCCACCCCATGCCGGGCACTGAGCTAGATACTTACCTATCAGTGCTTACCAAAATTCACTGCAAGGACCTGTGCCTCAGAAGATATACAGGGTTTCAAATAATGTTGAATCAATCTTTCCTATTAAACTGAGAGGACAGTCTTCCTTTAAGTCCATTTACATCTTTAACAGCTCTCTTATACTTGCTAAATTCTCTTTTGAACAGAAGAGCAGGTAGAAGTTGAAAATCTCTGGGCGTATTTTGTTTTTAATATATTTATTTTTCAGTAAGCTATTTTTAACAAATGGTACTGGTTCTCCAATTATGGTGATGAGTAAATACATTTTCCTTCTTAAGTAAATGTGTACAAGAAAAGTGAGTGAATGTAAAGAAAAATACAAAGAACAATAACACAGGTGTGGGGAGGGGGTGGGGGGATGGGTTAGCCCAGCGATGGGTATTAAGGAGGGCACGTATTGAATGGAGCACTGGGTGTTATACGCTAACAATGAATCATGGAACACTATATCAAAACCTAATGACGTATGGTGCCCAACATAATAAATAAAATAAAATAAAATAAAATAGAATAAAATAAAATAAAATAAAATAAATAAAATAAAAAATAATAAAATAAAATAAAAAGAAAGAAAGAATGAATGAAAAGATAAGCCACAGACTTGGAAACCATATTTGTAGAACAGATATCAGATAAGGGACTTGTATCCAGACTATATCCTTAAGTCTCAAAATTCATTAATAAGAAAATAAACCAATACATGAGCAAAAGAGTTGAATCACCACTTCATTAGAGCACACGTAAAGATGCTTAACATCAGCGGTCGTTAGGGAAATGCAAGTTAAAGTCACAATTATACTACTGCATACTTCTGAAAATGCTAAAAAGGGTGACCATGTCAAGTGTTAGCAACTGTAACTATTTAACTGTTGGTGCAAATGTAAAATGATACAGCTACTTTTGGGCGCCTGGGTGGATCAGTTGGTTAAGCGACTGCCTTTGGCTCAGGTCATGATCCTGGAGTCCCGGGATCGAGTCCCGCATCCGGCTCCATGCTCGGCAGGGAGTCTGCTTCTCCCTCTGACCCTCCCCTGTCTCATGTGCTCTCTGTCTCTCTCATTCTCTCTGTCTCAGATAAATAAATAAAATCTTTAAAAAAAAAAAAATTGGGGCGCCTGGGTGGCTCAGTCGTTAACCATCTGCCTTCAGCTCAGGTCATGATCCCAGGGTCCTGGGATCGAGTCCCACGTTGGGCTCTCTGCTCAGCGGGGAGCCTGCTTCTCCCTCTCCCACTCCCCCTGCTTGTGTTCCCTCTCTCGCTGTGTCTCTCCCTGTCAAATAAATAAAATCTTAAAAAAAAAAAAATGATACAGCCACTTTAGAAAACAGTTTGGAAGTTAAAGTAAAAGTGTTAAACCCACAAAAAAACAAAACAAAACAAAACAAAACAAAAAAAACAATAGCACAGGTGTAGACAGATCTAGCAAAAATAGTGATACTCCAATGACTAAAGATTGAGGAATACTGACCTATATTATTTCATCAAATCCCCATCACCAACCTGGGGGGTTGCAGATAAGGAAATTAACCTCAGAGAAGTTAAGCTCCTTATCCAAGGTCACCAGTCCCAAGGGTACAGGAAGCAGCCCCTGATCTTAGGGGGCTTATACCCACAGGGGCAGGGCCTATGATACAGTGTAATGGAGTCATCTGGCATTTGAGCACCCTGCTGCAGAAACACAGAGAAGTCAGAGAGGAGAAAAAGAGGAGCCTGAGGAAACCTTCACAGAGGAAGTAAAATGGAAATTGAGTTTTGAAATAGTTTCCAACCAGGAAAGGTAAAAGGAGCATTCCAGATATTCCAGATAGGGGAAGAAAGGAGGAGTAAATTTTTTTCCCAGGTAACACATAAAGCAAAGAGGTTTTGCAGCATAGACAGTGTACTCTGTAGAATCATATGAGAAGTTTCCTCCGAAATCAGTCCCTTGATGAACCTCCCCCAGAGGACCCAGCATCTTGTTCTTTGTTACCTATGAAACCCATACTTCAGCCTTTTGGGTTAAAAAAAAAAATGTTAAGTTCCTAATCAACCTTAATACAAAAATTGGGGTTATTTGGATGGAACAGAATCTAACTTAATCAAGAAAAAAAATTTATTGGACATGGGAGCGCTCATAAAACTGGGTTGCAAACTGGACAGTCAGTCTCAGCAAGACCAGGGAACCAGGACAGCTTCCTGGGGATATGTAAGCACCAAAGGCCCATACACAGGTTTTTTTCCAACCATATTCTATCTTTTGGTTCTTCTCAGAAAACTCAAAGTCCGAGAGAGAAGGTCTGACTCGCCCAACGTGGGTCACATGCCACCCACTGCTGGGTGGACAATTACCCTGATGGGTTGTCTCACCTAGGCTGTATTCGATAGGAGAGGAGTAGTTCCACCAAAGACAAACTGGGGTGCTATTACCAGAGTCCACCAGCGTGGGTGCTGAGGGGAAGTAATGGCAGATGTGTCCCATCTATTTGGTAGACCAGTCATGTAAGCTTTCTTTCTTTCCCATGTGCCCATGGCCAGACAGGAGAGAGACCAGCCAACCCAGCCCTGTGGTGGGTGAATGGCAAAGGGGACGAAGTGAAATGGAGCTTTGAAGAACTGGGCTTCTTGTCCCGAAAGGCTGCCAATGTACTCACCAAGCCCTGCGGCCTAAAGAGAGGAGACCGAGTGGCCGTGATCCTGCCCCGTATCCCAGAGTGGTGGCTTATAAATGTGGCTTGTATGCGAACAGGTCAGTGCCAATATTTAACACTTCCTTTTAAAAAAAGATTTATTTGGGCGCCTGGGTGGCTCAGTCGTTAAGCGTGTGCCTTTGGCTCAGGTCATGATCCCAGGGTGCTGGGACTGAGCCCCACGTCAGACTCCCTGCTCCGTGGGAAGTCTGCTTCTCCCTCTCCCACTCCCCCTGCTTGTGTTCCTTCTCTCACTGTGTCTCTCTCTGTCAAATAAATAAATAAAATCTTAAAAAAATATATATTTATTTATTCATTTATTCATTTTATTCACATGCAAGTGTGCATGTGTAGGCAGGGGGAGGGGAGGGAGAGGGAGAAAGAATCTCAAGCAGACCCTGCACTGAGCACAGAGCCAGACTTGGGACTCCACCTCACCACCCTGAGCTCATGACCTGAGCAGAAACCAAGGGTCAGATACTCAACCGACTGTGCCACCGGGTGCCCCAATATTTAACATTTCTAAATCATGCAGAAACAGAGAGAATGAAATTTGAGGTTTTTCTGAATTGTTACGCTTACAAAGAACAGAAAAATAAGAGTTGAGATGAAGAACAACCATGATGGAATAATAATAACAACTATTATTATTAAGAGGTGGGTATTGCAAAAAAAAAAAAAAAAAGAGGTTTGCAGGAGAAGAAACTGAGGTTCAGAGATGTTAAGAACTTGTCCGAAGTCACACAGCTAGAAAGCTATGCAGTTGGGATGTATTTATTTATTTTTAAAGATTTTATTTATTTGTTTTTTTGAGAGAGAGGGGAGAGGGGCAGAGGCAGAGGGAAAGAGAGATCTCAGCATGGAGCCTGATGGAGGGCTTGATCCCACAACTGTGAGATCAGGATCTGAGCTGAAATCAAGAGTCAGATGCTTAACCAACTGAGCCACCCAGGCGCCCCGCAATTGGGATTTAAACACAAAGCTCTATCAAAGCAAGTGTGGATAATAATGCCTCTTGGCAGAGCTGGTTATGATGTATTTATCTAGATGATCCAGAATTTACTTTCTTGAATATATTTGGATTCTCCCTGATATGAAAATACTAAAGGAAGAAAAAGCATTTTTTTTTTTTTTTTGAAAAAGCGTTTTAGAATGTAAGGACTTAGGGGCGCCTGGGTGGCTCAGTCATTAAGCATCTGCCTTCGGCTCAGGTCATGATCCCAGGGTCCTTGGATCGAGCCCCGCATCGGGCTCCCTGCTCCCCGGGAAGCCTGCTTCTCCCACTCCCCCTGCTTGTCCTCCCTCTCTCACTGTGTCTCTCTCTGTCAAATAAATAAATAAAATCTTTTAAAAAAAATTGTTTTTAAATTAAAAAAAAAAAGAATGTAAGGATTTATAAGAATATGACTGTGGATCCCAGTTGGAAAACCTCTGCCTCTTTCTAGGCAAAAAGATTAATGTATTCAATGACACATTTTCTACCGAAACAGTAATTTATAATATACCCCAAATAAAAATTCCACAGTATTGTTTTCCCCTCTAGGACAGAGGTTGGCAAAAACCATGGCCTATGGGTTGGCCACCTATTTTCATAAATAAAGTTTTAAAGTTTTAGTGGGATACAGTCATGCTTGCTCATTTACATATTGTCTATGGCTCTTTTTGCTCCACAACAACAGAATTATTAATTGAGACAGAGATGGAATGGCCCACAAAGCCTAAGATATTTACTATCTGGCCCTTTACTGAAAAAGTTTGCCAATTCCTACTCCAGAGCATGATATAAATGTTTATAAATCAATTAAAAATAAATAAGAATACCAAAGGAAAAACTGTAGAGAACACAAAGATGTTTGTTACAATATCATTAATAAGAGAAAAAAAATGGAAACAACTATATAGAAATGATTAAATAAATCATGACTTAGCTAACAAAGTTTAGTAGAGGTATATTCACTGCTGGTTGAAATGATGATACCTCAACCTGATGGGATATCATTAAAAAGACCAATTATAAGGATTTCATAATGGTGTTGAGAAATGATCTTACTGCCAATATTAAATTTTTTAAAAAGCAATAGATAAAATTCTTTTTGCTTTCAGTATAAAAAGAAACTTGGAAATGTGAAACCAATTGTGGGTTGAAAGGAGATTAAAAGTGGTTTGTCATTAAAAATGTACTCAACATTACTTAACATAATTTAAGCAATTTGGGAAATGCCAAGATTAAAAACGAACCCATAAGCTGAATGGTCAAAACATTCAGTTAATTAAATGTTAAGCAAGCAGCTGAGGATTGTTTTCTAATTCAGAGTTATTAAATCTTCTGAGTGAATACTGAGATGCTTTGTATTGTACCATGTGGCAAAATATTTTGCTTTTGCTGTAAAGTGTATACGGTCTGAAATCCACCAGACGAGAACTTTTCCTTAATCCCCACTCTATCCACTGAACACATTCATATCACAAATCTACTAAGAGTACTAATAATTTCTGAGCCATTAAGAACAAGTGTTTGTGGGATGACTGGATGGCTCAGTCGGATAAGCGTCTGCCTTCGGCTCAGGTCATGATCCCAGGGGCCTGGGATCGAATCCCGCATCCGCTGCTCAAGCCTGCTTCTCCCTCTTGCCTACCGCTCCCCCTACTTGTGCTCTCTCTCTCTAACAAATAAAGTAATAATCTTAAAAAAAAAAAAAAAGAGCAAGTGTTTGCAAAATAAGTATTTTTATATAGAGTGTACTATCTGAGATCCAGTTAGGTATTTTCTTAATTAACTTCCTTAATGTCATATATACATATATATATATTCATTTTACCAAGAGGTGATGACAGGTGAGAGGTTTTAAGATATACACAATGAGTATAGTCTCCTTTCTAGGAATTCAAATCCACATCTCCCCATTTCACTGACTAGGAAACTCACCAAGAAATGAGCACGGGTCTTGGGAGTCTAGGAGATGTATCTTTGAATCCTGGTTCTGCCGCTTACTGACTTTGTGACCCTTGAGCTCATTGTCATCTATATACTGGGGTTGATTTTGAGTGAGATAGCAGACACATAATAAGTGCTCAATAAATGGTAGTGGCTATTTGTGATGCCTTACATACAGTTCTCTTTCCTTCACTGATTCACTTTAGAAAGAGCAAACCACCTTCCCTCTGTCTTTCATCTAATTCTCCCATATATGCTCTTCTCATAAGGAACTGGTATTTTAAAATCAGGCCCATCTCAGGCCAGTGTTTAGAATGGAGTGAAAAGTGGGATAAACTAAGCATCTCCAAAGGAGTGTAGGCAAACTTTGACGATTCCAAACCACTGGGAAGACCCAGGTTTGAGGGCTGACTCTGCCACTCACTGGCTATGACTCAATCTCATATTCCAACAGCATGGACCTACATGGCTGCTTAGGACAGTGGCCTCCAGGCTCTTCTGATCACATAATCTATCAATAAAGTTATTTGGGATACACATCCTCCCATCTGGGTATAATTATTGTTCTTCTGTACAATAGAGCGTGCATATTATAAAATATATATAAAATGAGATTAAAACATAAAGAATACTATTATCTCAAAATTTTTTTAAATTCTAATTTTTCTTCTCATCTTCAGTGGATTACCTTGCAGAACTCACTTTGGAGACCATGGGTTCAGAAGATTGAGTAAGATAATGTTCCTGAAAATTTCTAATGAGCTGTAAAGTGTTATTTAAGTACTACATAATGATGATTCAAATGTCCCACAAAAATGTTACATAATAATAGCCCACCATTATAATGCCTACTATATGCCAGACACTTACTATTATTTTCCCCATTTTACAGATAAGGAAAGGAAGGCACAGAGAGATCAAGTAACATGCTCAAGGTCAAAAGCTAATAAGTCACAAGGAGAGAATTAGACCCAAGGACTATCAGACTGAAGCCACTGCTCTAAGGATCTCCCAGTGACCAGGGTCCTGTGGGGACCAAGACAGGAGTAGCCAAAGGCTGTATTCCCCACCCAAGCACAAAGCCTGTTTCCATAGTCCATAATCTCACCTAAGGGACAAGAGTTCTGTTTCAGGGGCGCCTGGGTGGCTCAGTTGTTAAGTGTCTGCCTTCGGCTCAGGCCATGATCCCAGGCTCCTGGGATCGAGCCCCGCATCGGGCTCCCTCCTCGGAGGGAAGCCTGCTTCTCCCTCTCCTACTCCGCCTGCTTGTGTTCCCTCTCTCGCTGTCTCTCTCTGTGTCAAATAAATAAATAAAAATCTTAGAAAAAAAAAAAAAGTTCTGTTTCAGCTCAGAGCTTTCTCTCTTTCCCAGGGCTGGTCTTCATGCCAGGAACAACCCAGCTGAGAGCAAAAGACATTCTCTATCGGCTGCGAGCATTCAAGGCCAAGTGTATTGTGGCCAGTGAGGAGGTGGTCCCGGCAGTGGAGTCCATTGTGTCAGAATGTCCCGACTTGAAGACCAAACTCCTGGTGTCTCCATGCAGCCAGAACGGGTGGCTCAGCTTCCAGGAATTATTTCAGTGAGTGTTTTCTTCTGCCTCATCTGCAGTACCAGCGGTAACATCAATTGCAACTAACTATATCTCAGAGTCTCCTTGCCTCCAAGGACTTAGCAATACTGTCTGTTGATCCAGACTCCTTCCCATAAAAGAATCACCTAATAGAAGATTTGACTTGGAGGATGAAGGAGGGAGTCAAGGTTGATCTGCTTTTTAACATGGGTGACTGAATGGGTGGGTAGTATCAGCTGGAGAAAGAATTTAAAGTTGGACATATTAAGATTGAGGGGTCTGTGAACATCCAAATGTCTAGCAGGTGGTAGATACATGAGTCTCAGACTCAAGGACTTAAGATACAAATCTGGAAGTCATCAACATATAATCAGTTCTGAAAAATACAGAAATATAAAACTGAGGTGTCCAAAGAAAGTCAGTCAGACAATGACATCATTAATTGAAAATCTCCTTATCACCCACAGATTATAATGTGTCCTCTTTTGGTAAAAGAAAAAAGAAATTTAAAGTCTTACATTAAAGGTTTCCACACTGGATTGAGAAGCATTAAATAGTGGTTTTTTTCCCCACAGTATTAGATATTGTGAAGAAATCCCTCTTTCTCCAACCCCCACACACCAACTTCACCATATATACATATATACAAACACATACACACACACATACACACACACACATCCCCTGAACATAATTTGATGCTCTTTATTGACTGCTGAATTATAGCATATCTTTAAAAATAATTATTGAGGGGTGCCTGTCTGGCTCAGTTGATAAAGCATGTGATTCTCCCAGTCGCCCATGTTAAAAAGCAGATCAGCCTTGCCTCCTTCCTTCATCCTCCAAGTCCAATCAATCTCCAAGTCCTGCTAGTTCTTTACTTTGCCTCCTTCCCTCCACCCCATTCACCAGGGCACAGATTCCTCTGTAGCCATTCTGACAGGTGTGAAGTGGTATCTCATTGTGGTTTTGATTTGTATTAAGGAAACATTTTCCAGAAAGCCTTTAAATCTCATTGACTGTAACTGTATGTGAGCCCATTCCTAAATCAGTCTCTGGCATGAGAATTACTACAATTGGCTTAGGATTATCAAGATTCACCCCCTGGAACTATATAAGGAACAGTCTCCCCTGAAGCATATAACTGCCTGATACCAGAACAAAATCAGAGTTTTATTAGTGCAAGGAAGTGCAATTGGATGCTATATGGTAAGCACCTAACTGTGTCTGCCAGTGATGCAGATGTTGAATAAAAAGTATGAAAAAGTTTGATTCAAATGCCAAAAGATCTTCCTTTAAATCATAAAAACTACTGAAATGTTAAACAGTTCACAAAGACTCATGACTGATTTTTTAAAAAATTACAGATTAAAAAAAAGCACTTAGAAAAAAATGTTTAAGTAAATAAAATACACATCCTTTTGTCATTGATATTGAAAGTCATCTTGGCTATCAATGTGGCCTGTGCAGAGGTGGTGCTTAAAAAGAGAGAGAAATGAGTTGTTAAAGCTTAGCACTGATCTGCAAAATCCCTTTAAGATTTATTGAGAAATTCCTCTCAAGGAGGCTTTGGATTAGGTTTTGTTCTATTAACTGTGTTCTGGTATCCAGAGGGCACAAGTAGCAGAGAAAAAAAAAAAACATATATATATATATATACATACATATGTGTATACATATATATAATCTCAGAGTTAAACTGGTGTGCCATCTTCAGCTACCACGTTGGGTTGGGACCCGTATTTTACAGATCCACCTCTGCAGAACACAGCTGTGTGGAGACAGGAAGTCAAGAACCAATGGCCATTTATTTCACCAGTGGGACCACAGGTTCTCCCAAGATGGCCCAGCACTCTCAGAGCAGCCTCGGAATTGGCTACACCCTCTGTGGAAGGTAGAGAAGAAAACCATTTTTGCTAAACTCTCCCCTGAGATGCCAACATGTATATCCAACTGGCTAGCTGACACCTCCACTTGGATGACTATTAGATTTCTCCAGTGTAACATCTACAAAACAGAATCCACGATGCCCCTGCCCAGCCTCAGCTCAGTAAATGGCAACATCTCACCAACTGATCAAGCAAGAATTTATGGGTGAAATAGGTGATGGGGATTAAGGAATGCACTTGTGTGGTGAGTGCAGGGTGATATACAGGAACCAACTTTGACCCCATCTCCACAACAGCATGCCTGGTTCCTTCTCATTGCCAAGTAAATTCACCCACCCAGAAAGGCCTTCCCAGGTACCCTAAAACTATCACTTCACCCTGTTTTATTTTCATCAGAGCATGTATTACTATTTGAAATTATGATACTGATTTATATTCTTACTCATTTTATTGTGTGCTTATCTGCTGTCTGTCTTGCTAAAGTAAGAGCAGATATCTGGTCTATCTCACTCACTGTGCTAGGGAAAACAGTGCCTAGCATATATTTGCACAATAAATATTTGTTGCATCCATGAACAAACTCAGAACATTATGTCAAACCCAGCCTTCCTCTCTACTTTCAGATTACCTAGGATTCTGAGAAAGTCCTCTAACAAAAGTGGGAGATAGAATCACTCATCCTGCCTTTGGGCTTCTTTTGACCCTTCTCTGTAGCCATTGAGATTCTGGCCAGTTCTCCAAGATTCCAGTTTGTTTGCTTTTCTGTTTTGTTTTGTTTTGTTTTGGGGCTTTTTGGTCTGTCTTGTTGCTTCTTCACATCATTTAGGTATTGGCTAGACCTGAAGTCCTCAGATATCATATGGAATATATCTGACACTGGCTGGATCAAGGCTGCCATTGGCAGTGTGTTTTCATCCTGGCTTCAGGGAGCCTGTGTCTTTGTACATCGGATGGCCCAGTTTGACACCGATACCTTCCTAGACATAAGTCATGGTTTCTTGCTACATCTTTCCCTTGTCTCCCTCCCCCACCCCCAAACCCCTGCCAAAACCACAAAAGAATGATTCTTCAGAATATATTTTCCTGGACTTGTGGAAATCATTCCTTTTTAATAAATTAAGTCTCGGGCGCCTGGGTGGCTCAGTTGGTTAAGTGACTGCCTTCGGCTCAGGTCATGATCCTGGAGTCCCGGGATCGAGTCCCGCATGGGGCTCCCTGCTCGGCAGGGAGTCTGCTTCTCCCTCTGACCCTCCCCCCTCTCATGCTCTCTCTATCTCATTCTCTCTCTCAAATAAATAAATAAAATCTTTAAAAAAAAAAAAGAAATTAAGTCTCTGGGGATTTGGCTTTTGAATGTATTTAACAGAGAAGGAACACCCACAACACTCTCATGCTTCAAACTATTCAGGATTTGCTTACATCCCACCTGAGAGGTTCTAAATAACAGATTACAAGTCTCAAGTCTAAACAAATCTTTGGTTTCTTGATTCAGTGAAACAAAACAATAGGCAATAAATCCAAAACCCTATGTAGAGAAGACTGAAGGTGGGGTCACCTTTCTCCCAGAGCAGCTCCTTCCATTGTCCCCTCACCCTGTGCTTTTCACTTTGTTAATTCTCAGAACCCAGTATTTGTCTTAAAACCAAGCAAGTTCCTCCTTCTCAGCCAGGCACAGCTAGACTGCAGTATCAGATTGCTCTGATTTCTTTAGCCTTTAAAAAGATGCGATTCAGGCCAATTATTTTTCAACCATGAAAAACCCACTATGTTTAATGAAATACATATTATTAAACACCACACCTGTGTGTGAATAAAAGCTATACTCACCCTGTTATTTTGCTAACTGGTCTAACGAGATGGCTTGAAGGTCTTAACAGAAATGGTGGGTAACATGAGAACTGGGATCTCTACATCAGGTTTACAAAGTGACCTGAGTAGATAAACTAAATTTGCAGTCCTAAAACCTGTATTTTTAAAATAAGAATATTTTTATAAAATATTAAATATTATATATTTAAGTAAAAGTATGTATGGTATGTATGGTATGTTTAATGGGCAAAGTTTAAGTTTAGCATATTGGGAGCCTTTCAACCCCAGGCTGAGCCCCTGAAGAGCCCCCTTGGTGCTCTAAATTTTTAGTTTCCCAGAATACCTTACCTTGCCCAGTAACTACCAAGACCTCTGAATTGCCCAATTTGGCTTGGCTAGCAGGGAATTAGGATTGTTCCTTGCAGTCTTCCTGTCTTCTCCCCATGCAGAAGTCTCAAAGGTGTTAGGGGTTGGAGAGGGTCAGAATCGAGTGGCTCATCTTCTCAGCAGCACTGAGGACCCGAGAGAGCCCCAGTGGGTAATTTATCCCAAGGTGTACTAAATGGGACCCTTAGTCTAAAGGAGTAGTTTTCAAAGTGTGGTCCCCAAACCAGAAGCAGCAGCAGCGTGTGCGAATTTTGTAGCAGTACAAATTCTCAGACACCCCACCCCACCCCAGCCAGGCCTCCTGAATCAGAAACTCTGGGATGGGGCCTGGCAATCTGTGCTTGGACAATGAATGTCCCAGATAATTCTGACACACACATTTGAGAAGCACTGGTCTAAAACAAAACAGTGTGTGTGTGTGTGTATGTGTGTGTGTCCAGAAGACAAGCATGCATACTGGGAAAATCAGTCCAGTCAAAATGTGTGTGTGTGTGTGTGTGTGTGTATCCAGAAGACAAGCATGCATTCTGGGAAAATCAGTCCAGTCAAAACTGAGTCTTATGTTTTATTGTCATGATATAAATAGCTACAGAAGATGAATTTTTACATTCTTATATAAAACATGTTCTCTCAATAGGGAATAATTTGTGCTAATCAGAAAGGACAAGAAATTAAATCAGGCTCTATGGGGAAAGCAGTACTACCCTATGATGTCCAGGTGGGTAATATCTGACTGTCAGTAAAGAATGTTTTACAGTTTTCTGCTAGTCACTGTACAACTATTCATAACCTGTTTTCATTTTGTAAAAAGAAAATTTTAGGAACCTAAATATTTTTTCATTCTAGATTATAGATGAAAATGGCAACATCCTACCACCTGGCAAAGAAGGGGAAATTGCCCTCAGACTAAAATCTACACGGCCCTTCTGTTTCTTCTCTGAATATGTGGTACAAGAACATACAATGTGCTAGTCACGTTAATAGAAAGGTGGTATAGGGAGTCATACAGACTTGGGTCCAAATTTCATATCCACCATGTGTTGCTGTGAAACTTGGGCAAGTCACAAAATCCAAGTCTATTTCATCAACTGTAAAATGGGGAGAATATCACCTATCTCCTACGAGTTTTGTAAAGATTAAATTCTATGTGTAATAAACCAGTAGCCGTGCTTGTCCAGAAAAGACAACTAGGCAGGCTGCAGAGGGCAGGGAGGGGGCGATACAGGGCAGAAGAGGTGCAAGAGGGGTTTCCTTTTCATTATTTTCTTGAACTTTTTGTATTCTACAGTAGGAACCACCTTTTTTTTAAATTTCTTTTAGAAATAGAATGTGCAAGGTACTAGTCACTTCATGGGTGTCATATCCCTTTTTCCCTTCTGACCAAATTAATCCCCAAAGTCGTCTTTGATTCCTAGGACAATCCAGAGAAAACTGCTGCCACAGTAAGAGGGGATTTTTATGTCACTGGAGACAGAGGAGTGATGGACAGTGACGGGTATTTCTGGTTTGTCGGCAGAGCTGATGATGTCATCATATCCTCTGGGTCTGTACATTTGCCACTCTTAGAGAGTTAACAGATTGCCAGGGGAGATCTCCTACTTGGGTGACGTAGTGATCAAGGGCTTCGTTTCCTCTTCTAGGTACCGAATTGGGCCGTTTGAAGTGGAGAGTGCGCTAATTGAACACCCAGCAGTTGCTGAATCAGCTGTTGTCAGTAGTCCGGATCCAATCAGAGGAGAGGTAGAGTGAATGTCATTAAAGTAGAAATTTCATATTTTCTAGTTCTATCCATTTGATCCCTCTGGAGAATGAATCAAGAGTAGTTATGTAATTCTCACGATGAAGCACCCATGTGCCAAAAATATATACTAGGCACTCAACTTTTTTTTTCCTCTTCATTTTCTTCATTATGTTCAGTTAGCTGTCATATAGCACATCATTAGTTTTTGTTGCAGTGTTTAACGATTCATCAGTTGCATATAACACCCAGTGGTCATCACAACACGTGCCCTCCTCAATACCCATCACCTGGTTACTCAACTTTACAAATGAGTTGTGTCCCAAAGGGGATGTATTAGGATGCATTTAGTGGTAAGTGAAAGAAACTGAACTCAAACTGACTTAAGTTTTTAAAAAAGGAATTTATTGGCTCATATGTAAGTGAGGTCATCTTCAAGTACAGCTACATCCAAGGGTTCATGTGAAGTAAGCAAAACTTTGTCTCTCTTCATTTCCTGGCTGTTGTCCTTTAGGTTGGCTCCATTCAGGCAGGCTCTTCCTACTTGGTAGCAACTGATTGCAAATGCACAGAGCTTCACAACCAGTAAAGGAGGTGGCTCCTTTTCCAACAGTTCCAAGCGACTCCCAGAATAACATTTGCCCATCTTAGATCACATATGTAATCAATGTGGTCCAGGGAATGGTATATGCTCACTGGCCACACCTGGATCATACGTTGGTCACTGGAGGTAGAAGTTAGTGTCAACACCACCAAAGAGAGAAGTTAGGGTAATGCTCTGTAGGAAAATCAGGGTACTATTACTAAAAGGGGGGAACAAGGGACACCTGGGTGGCTCAGTCAGTTGGGCTGCTGCCTTCGGCCTGGGTCGTGATCCCAGGGTCCTGGGATCAAGTCCCACATCGGGCTCCTTGCTCAACAGGGAGCCTGCTTCTCCCTCTCTCCCCCTCTGTTTGTGCTCTCTCTGTCAAATAAATAAAATCTTTAAAATAAATAAATAGGGTGCCTGGGTGGCTCAGTTGTTAAGCGTCTGCCTTCGGCTCAGGTCATGATCCCAGGGTCCTGGGATCGAGCCCCACATCGGGCTCCCTGCTCTGCGTGGAGCCTGCTTCCCCCTCTCCCACTCCCCCTGCTTGTGTTCCCTCTCTCCTCGTCTCTCTCTCCGTCAAATAAATAAATAAAATCTTAAAAAAAAAAAAAAAAAAATAAATAAATAAATAAAAGGGGGGAACAGATGCTGCATAAGAAAAAGCAGATTTTACTGTACGTATGATTGTCATGGAACTCAGAATACATTTCCTCACAGAAACAATGCAAATAGGAGACTGTGGCCAGGTTCCCAAACAAGTCCCACAAGCCTACTTAGGACCTAATGAGAGGGAACTTGGGGAATGACAGTAATAGCCTTAGTTTTAGGAGGAAGCCATGTAGTATGGAAGGGAGACATTTCCTTTCCTCATGGAAGTTTCTTAGACTCAGTAAATAGCAATATTTCAAAAACAGTTTGTGTATCAGCATCCTCCCACATCTCTTTCTATGACGCCTTTTCTTCAAAAAGGTTTTATTTACTTATTTGACAGAGAGGAGAGCACAAGCAGGGGGAGGGGCAGAAGGAGAGGGAGAAGCATGCTCCCCACTGAGCAAGGAGCCCAATGTATGGCTTGATCCCAGGACCCTGGGATCATGACCCAAGCCAAAGGCAGATGGTTAACTGACTGAGCCACCCAGGTACCCTCTCTGATGCCTTTTACATACCAATAACCCTCTGCAGTGACTCTATGGATTCCATACTTAAACCTCCTGTACAACCTCCACACCCAGTGGATTCTATTCTCCAAAGTACTTTTCTCCTGCCACCATATTCTCATTCTCTCAATATAGTTGGTTTCATCTGAACATTAGAAGTAAATACCGATTGGAATCAATGTACGAATAATTAATAATTTAAACTATAATTGACTAACCTCAATAATTATCTAATTGGTGCGTTTTGAATAGTATTCCAAAGAGAAGCAAGAATTTTTTTGCCTGGATAGATCCTTCCCAAGAGTTCATCTCCCAGCATACAAAATCCTTTCACCAAGCCTCCCCAAATTCCTTTCAAACCATATTCTCTGGAACCTCCATTTGTCTCCCTATTACATGCTTCTAACAGTGTAGGTCTGGAGTAAGTAATCATCTGCAAATCAAGGACTGCCTCTATAATATATAGGACTAGTCTGACTGAAATGTTAAATACATGTCTGACATGTAAATAAAACTCAACTTTTAGCTTTACTGAAACACTGCACTCCTCACACTCACAAACCATTTATCTGGAATTAGATCTCAAAACCCTACTTGTATCCAAGCTCCATCAGAGGTGATCTCTGGATTTGCATTCATCACTTAAGCTGCTGTTAACAAATAATTATAAGTACCTGTGTTCAGCATTGGTTCCAAACTCCTGATGTGTCTGAAAAACAAACATCAATATAAATTGACTTTTCTCCTGCAGGTAGTGAAAGCTTTTGTTGTCTTATCTGCACCCTTTAAATCATCCAACCCAGAGAAATTAACTCTTGAACTTCAGGATCATGTGAAAAAATCAACTGCACCTTACAGCTATCCAAGAAAGGCAAGTATTTTTTGCCCAAGAGTGTGTTACCAAAGAAGGGTCTAAGCTATTAAGTACACAGATTTTATTAGCTTTTGACTTTATGGTAGCTCATTATATAAGTAGAAGACACTTATTTCAACTTGTTTAGCCCTAATAATTTTGCTTTAAAAAATTTCTTTAGGACACTTAAATTTTGATAAACTAGTTTTGATCAACTTTGAAATACTGAATAATTACTAAGGATCCTTATAAGACTAACCAGTCCCATTCCATGAGAAAAAAAAATGGTGGAAAAAAATTTAAGACAGCACCTGATTCAGCTATCAGTACTCTTGAGCCATAATACTCTTCAAAGCACAAGTTTTTTTGTTTTTTTTTTTTAAGATTTTATTTATTTATATGACAGAGAGAGACAGCGAGAACAGGAACACAAGCAGGGGGAGTGGGAGAGGGAGAAGCAGGCCTCCCGCTGAGCAGGGAGCCCCATGCAGGCTCTATCCCAGGACCCTGGGATCATGACCTGAGCCGAAGGCAGATGCTTAACGACTGAGCCACCCAGGCGCCCCCAAAGCACAAGCCTTTAAGTATCAAGTGACCAAACTTAAGGCTCAGAAAAAAAAGATGTTATCCAAAGAAACTGTGGAATCTTTCCTGAAACCTTCTTCAATAAAATCTTTAAAAAAAAAAAAAAAAAAGAATAATTCTATATAAAAACAGAGAGATGGCACTGCAATTTCCTTCCTTCTCATCCTGGAATACTGTTGCTTGATATTGATCCTTAAGATGAGAATTCTATTTCAATTGGTATTTCAACCAAAAGGTAGTTGACTTCAGCTTAAGAATTAGCTACATTTTCTCCATTAAATTTACTAAATCAGTCACCAGTTGCTTCTCAGAAATGTTGTTTAGATATTTTAAAATAGTCACATCTTGAGAGAGGGAAACAGAGAGGATTTTACCATGAGCATAAGGGGAAAATTTTTTGTACTCAAAATTAACTCTCAAAAGTCTTCCTCAGAAAGGATTTGCAGGACCCAACTCTTAAAAGCCCAAAACCCAAGGATTAACTTGTTTCTCTGTGCATTTAGGTGTGGCCTCTATTTCCTTGGGGAGTAGAGGCCCAGGTCTAGTTTGAACTGGAAAGGGAAGCAATGGAGTAAAGGGATTATATTCTTCTGACAAAGCATATAGCCTTTGCACTAAAAACTCACGATGTAGCTCCAATGTCAAATGGACTATCAACACAAGAATTTCAATGAGCTTAGGCTAAGACATCCCCCAGACTCAAACTCGCCAGTTACATGAAAGCTCTCCCTATTGTACTGACAACTGGGATTGTCAAAATGGAATCAAATGTCTCATAGTATGTTTCTCTGTTAATTAGGTGGAATTTGTTCCAGAACTCCCGAAGACAATCACTGGGAAAATCAAACGCAATGTTCTGAGAGACCATGAATGGGGTCGAACATAGCCTAATAAGAAACTATGGCATTAAGTAGTTATAGGCTTGCTTTCATTGAGTCCTTGCTTCCTGATAATTTAGTGATTACTCTCTTACAATGCTGAAGGTTTTTCCTGGTTGAAAAACTCAATTTTTTTGTTCTGTACTTAGCAAAATATTAAATAAATGAATATCCAAAAATATTTGGGAAGAAAACGCTTATGATGACCAAACTGACAAAGGCAATGATTTTAATGACTTGCAGGGTTTAAAATAGCAAATAATTACTTAGAAAAGCACAGTGGACAATGAATTTATCTTGTGCCTGATTAAGTCAAAATAAAGATTAGAACTGTTCTAAGAAAAATGTTCAAGACAGAATTTCTTCTGCTTAACATCTTGTATTACTACTTCTCTAAAGTGAATTAAAGGGGTGCCTGGGTGGCTCAGTTGGCTAAGCATCTGACTCCTGATCTCTGCTTGGGTCTTGACCTCAGGGTCATGGGTTCAAGCCCCATGTTGGGCTCTATGATAGGTGTGGAGCCTACTTAAAAAAAAATAAAGTGAATTAAAAGGAATATAAATAATTCAAAAGCCAGTAAGTGCATTTAATTAAGTACTATATTACTATACCTTTTTTTATAAGGTTTATTTAGAGAGTCGGGGGGGGGGCAGAGGGAGAGAGAATCCCAAGCAGACTCCCTGCTGAGCAGAGCCCGACATGGGGCTTGATTTCACAACCCTGATATCAAGACCCAAGCTGAAATCAAGAGTTGGACGCTTAACCGACTGAGCCACCCAGGCACCCCTAACCTCCTTTTGAAGCAAGTTCACTGTAAAATATCTTATGTTTGGGTTACTTATGAGTAATTAATCAAGAGCAATTATTCTAAAAGTATTATATCTGTACTTTTTTAGGACAATGTACATGACTTTTGGTACATAATTTGACATGCAAGCACCTTTTATGAGTATCTATTATAAAGCAAGAGATTTACTAAGAGGCAGGAAGAAAGAAAAAGCAAAGAACACCAATCTTTAGGGAACAAATTTATTTTGATTTTTCTGAAAATATCAGGAACTATAAAAACAAACTAAATATTTGGCCATACCAAAAGCAAAATACAAGTAAAAACAACATTTAGAAATCATGTGTGACCTTAAACAGGTTTCAAGATACTAAGCTTAACACTCTTTCCTCCACAGAGCAAAACAAGTTTACTAAACCACAATACTGGAGTTTTTTTTAACTGACATAACTTAAAAAAAAAAAAAAATTAAAAGAAACCACTCAATTCCCACCCTGGAATCTCATCATTTATAAAACAACATGCTCAAATGTCAGTGACAATAAAGTTGGGAAACCTGAAAACATATCAATGAAGGAATTCAGATTCCAACAGAACACAGTGCTTTACAGCTGGGGAAGAATAGCTTTTGTCGCACTCAGGTCTTACCAAATACAAATAAATACAGGAAGATTAAAAACAAACTACTAAATCGAAATCTTTCCGTAGAGTAGCAGCTTTCACAAAGTAAAAGGAATCCAGCTCTGCAGAGTTAGATGTTCTAAAAGCATATGGCCAATTTTATTCCCAAAGTCCCAGAGTCTTGCACTATCAAAATAAAAGTATCTTTGTCTTGGAGCAAGTCCAATGAAGGCACCAAAATCCTATCCTCCGTGTTCATGCAAATGAAACTTAAAATGCTCTTATCATCCTTTCAAGATGACCTCAACCTATTAAGAGTTAACACTTTAAGTATCTAAAGATCTAGAAGGAAGTTACAGCCTCATCTGCATTACCAAGGTCCAGTCTTTATAGCTTTTGCCCCTCCCAAATCCTTCTAGTCTGGACTCCTAGTTTAGGAGGATAAAAATACATTCCCGTACTCCCTAGCCATTAAATAAACACAGACACTGGTGCAGGAAGACTCAACAGTTGTAATACTACTGAACTTTTTAAAACTTAATAAACCCATCTCCAAAAGTGAATTTCACAGCCTCTTAATATTTGTTCTCAGTCTGGACTTAGTAGCAGCCCTCTTTGGTGTCATCTCTTCCAGGCTTTTCAGTGGTTTTACCCTGGAGAAAACCTTGAAAAAACTTCAAATTACAGGAACCCGCATGGCTTGGGAGTATGAGCACTATACGAATTTGTGTCTCTTGTTGCGCTGGCATACTAAAGAAACTCAGAACACTAATTCTTCATCACCAACCTTATCAGAAATGTCTAGTTCTTTGCCTAGAATGGTCCTCTTCTATCTCACACCATGCCTTCAAAAATTGCAGCACTGGACCATCAGATTTGTAACAAATGTTAATAAAATGTAAAAACTGGCATAACAACTAAGTAACAGAATCACAAAAAAATAGAAAAACTTCACAAAAACAATTCACTTCTAAACCTATAAGACCCATGTTTTTGCAATGTTTACAACAAAGTGGGAAGGGACAGCTGAGTTGCAACACATAAAAATTCCTTCCCTAGAATGGAAATTTCCCTATGACTTTCTCTTTTAGTTTGTTTGCTCCCATAAATCAGATGGCAACACAGAAGGGGCGGCTGGCGAAGGTAATCTGGAGGGAGAGGCCAACACTATCTTCCTTCCACCCTCCCCTCCACGAAAGTGTTCATCATTATCCATACTTCTCCTAGCTCAACCAAATGCATGTAGGCCTAACTGCACCCTGGCATAGGGGGCTGAAAAGATCTCCAACAGAACTGTTAACGGGGCTGCTCAATCACTGTTCACTATTATGAGTTCAGCATTATGCAGCGCACAAAGGTCAAAAACAATATATTTTCAGTCACAATTTTATATGGAATCCTAGCAATATCTTACCAACGCCATCTGAGAAACCCACCTGCAACACCAAATGAATTTTTTTTCCTTATGAGAGATCATTTTCATTTGACTCAGATCTTTCTGTGACTTGACTTTCAAGTTCAGGTTTAGCTCCTCCCTCATTCACCACTTGTGTCTCAGATCTTGGTTTTGCCTGCCCCAGTTCCTCATTATTTTCTGGTACCACCTGCTGGTTATTTGTTCCTTCTGCTGGGTCATGTTGATTTAATTTGTCACCAGATTCCAATTTAGCTTCTTTCCCATTTCCTGCTTGCACTGGCTGCTTTGGGTTAAGTTGTGATGGGTCCTTAACACTCTTCACCACCTCCTGGAGATTATACTTTCTGAACAACATATAATCTTTGACAACACTCAGGCAACAGACAGCTTTAATTATTTCTACTACCACCGTGTACTGTGGATTGGTAAGATCCACTTTATTTTCCGAATTGAGGCTGCCTACTATTCCTGTAACAAAAAGAAGAGGGAAACGTTTAGAGGGAGAAGGATACCATGAGGCTTGACAAATACAATCTTTCATCTTTCTGTTTGGGACTTGTTATACCAATATATATACTAATCTACTCTTCTACATGGACCTCAATCAAATTCTTTGAACTCTGGGCCCCTAGGTGGCTGAGGTCATGATCTCAGGGTCCTGGAATCGAGCTCCGTATTGGGCTCTCTGCTCAGTAGGGAATCTGCTTGTCTCCCTCTCCCCCCACCCCCAGCTCCTGCTCTCTCATGTTCTCTAATAAATAAATCTTAAAAAAAAATTCCGCAAACTCTTTCAATAAATAAATACAAATGAAATCCTGAGACATTTAATGAGTACTTTTTTTCCAAAGAAAATTCAATCTTGATTTGGAAGATTTCATATCTACCTACCAGAAAGTCTCATATCCAACATATCAAAATCTGTTAGGTTTGATATTATTTTAAGGATTTTTTTTTTTTTAATAATCTTTGCCCCCAACATGAGGCTTGAACTCACAACCCTGGGATCAAGAGTCACATGCTCTACTGGCTAAGCCAGCCAGGTACCCCTATTTTAAGGACATTTTATTTTATTTTTTTTTAAAGATTTTATTTATTTATTTGACACACAGAGAGAGAGAGCACACAAGTAGGGGGGAGCGGCAGGCAGAGGGAGAGGGAGAAGCAGGCTCCCCACTGAGCAGGGAGCCCTATGCAGGGCTCGATCCCAGGACCCTGAGATCACGACCTGAGCTGTAGGCAGACGCTTAACGACTGAGCCACCCAGGTGCCCCTAAGGACATTTTAATATACTTCTTTTATACCCAAAATTATAAGCCTTAGGTTGTAAAAAAAAAAAAAAAAAAAAAAAAAATTCACAAAATCAAGAAAAGTATTTAGTATTACATACTAATGTAAAGTCACTAAGAAAAACATACCTGCCAATTCTTTGATAACTTCTTCTCTATTCATGTGACTGTTATTTCGAGATTTATATACAATCTGAAATGTCCCTTTGTTTGGAGCTTTAAACCAGGGTTCCAAAAATGTTTCTGCATATTTTTTCATATCTTCTAAGAAAGCCTTGCATGTGCCTGAAATGGGTAACATACGTAGAATAACCCGAGTCTTCTTCTTCTTGGTTTTGTACATATCCTGGAGAATATGATGTACCAATTTCTCAGGTTCTAAAGGAAAAAAGAAAAAAGCACAAAGCAAACAAGTAAGTTAAGAATAAAAACTCTCGGACATTTCAGAACCTCTTCAAACTCTCTATAAAATGAATTTTCATTGGCAATGACCTATTGTCAACAGTATAGTAGAAGAAATTATCATAATGAATGTTAATAAGCCTAATCAAACATTTTTCCAACTTTCTTCACTGCCTATAATGATTATTATTATATCTAATAAGTTAACTCTTCAGCATTGTTACTGTTTTCACTAAAAACAATTGTTCATGAAGACATTGGAGTTAACATTTTTGTGATGTCTCATTTGTCCAACACTTTACTGTTTTCCTATAACAATAGCAAGTACAAACATTTTTTTTTTTTTTAGATTTTATTTATTTATTTGAGAGAGAGAATGAGAGACAGAGAGCACGAGAGGGAAGAGGGTCAGAGGGAGAAGCAGACCCCCTACGGAGCAGGGAGCCCGATCCCGGGACTCCAGGATCATGACCTGAGCCGAAGGCAGTCGCTTAACCAACTGAGCCACCCAGGCGCCCCAAACATAACATTATTAAATAGTACACTTTTTTACAAAACAAACAAATCTGCAAGTCACTTTAAAAGATTTAATTCATCCATTAGTTAATTTTGTACAATAATCTAGATCTCAGAACTCAGAGAAGCCCCCAAACTATGAATTACACAAGATCATGATATGGTCCTTAGGCCATCCTCACTACCTACAAGTCTGTTTGGGGCTACTGAGTGTTTTCAATACTTTTAAATTAGTTAACTGCATTAAAAAAAATCTAGGAACTTCTCCAGATTTCCAACCTCTTTTGAAAAACCAGAAGATCTGGCCCTGCAGGACTATATTCCAGATGCCTGGAGCCATTCCAAACTGGCTGGCGCTGAAGAGCAGCTTCTCCTCTTAAACAGAATACGTACTCTTGTTTCACCTAAAGTTACATACAAAGAAAGTGGCAAAGCCAGGTTTCCACTCCTAAGCCAATGTGATGTTCCCCACCCCATTCTACCTTTCCATATGCCTAGTGCTAGAACAGTGAGGAAAAGATCAAATGATTAACTGAGCTGTAACCATGAAGCCATTTTGTAGGCAGTGTTCTGAGGCAAGGAGATGTCCAGATATTATAGGCTCAATAATCTTAAGGTTTATTAGTCAGACACACCTATTCCAAGTGTCCTGATGAAGACTACATTATTTGCTCCACTCTCCACTGACTGGAATCTTCTTAGCTTCATCTCTGTTGATGCTTTAATGTCACCAACTTCTTTCTTCAAGGCAGCCTCCATGTCATCATCTTCTCCCTCACTTCCAGAGGGCTGCTGCTCTTTGTCCGTAAACTGCATGAAACAAATGAGCAGAAACGCAAAAACAGCTCATGTGAAAAGCTACAGTTAACTACCTATGTTAAATCTCCAGTGGCAGATGGATCAATACTGACAATAAAGCTTTTTATTAAGAAACTGACACATCGCTCCCTACAAAATGTGGAGGAAAAAGGGAGTTCCCTCAGACTGGGGCACATATAATTTGAAAATGCTTTCAAAAACATCTTAACATTCTGGGACACAGGGTAATGTGCTCACCAGATGAATTAATTCAAGATAGGCCTTAATCCCATCACTAGATATCTTTGTGCCTTCCTTTTGGTGAGATTATGATGAAGGAGCAGAAGGAAAAGGAAAAAGCCCAACCTGACACCCCGCAAACCCCAGCTCCCTCCCAGGTGGGATATGTGTAATATCCCTCAGGCACTCCTGGCTGCCCTAAAGCTAAGGGAAGGAAAAACAAATGGTTAACTAATAGAGATCACAGTCCTGCAAGACAGGAATTTCCCTCAGCTTACAAATGTTTTAGGTGATTTACCAGGAAAAAAAAAAAAAAGCATTCTTATCAACAACCTAACGTCCAGAAGGAAACTCCCAACTATCTTACTATTGAATGCTTTACTAGAGGGGAAAAAAAAAAATCCTAACTTGATAATCGGAAGGTCTCTATTATCTTGTAGGTCGTCCCCTTTAGCATACAAAAGTTCTTTTGAAAACCTCCCTTTTCCTTTACCTCCCCCAACTTCCAAGTATATAATCAGTCACCCCTCACAGCCCTGGTGCAGCAGCTCGGTCCTGTCCCCGTGCTTTAATAAAACACCATTTTGCACCAAAGATGTCTCAAGAATTCTTTCTTGGCCGTCAGCTCTGGACCTCACCTACATTCAAAAACTACATCAATTAGACCCAACAGTTATGGCATAAAAAAAAACCCTTGCTTCTATTCTACCAAGGAACAGGGAACAGAAACAGTCAAGAATTTGTTCAAGGTACCAGTGTAGACAGGACACTCACTTGTTGCCCATTTCTCTGCCCCACCATTATTAGTTTGCCAGACAAGCACTAATAATAATTAAACACATTTATGGAAACTTTATTATATGCCAGGATGTATTTTATATACATAAGCAACTTCTCAGCCAACATTAAGTACACATCATTTTTCTTTTTTATTTAGCTTAGCAAAATTAAATAATATACCCATGCCCAAGCCCTAGAACTAGTAAATAATGGAACTTGAATCCAAATCCCCCCTGTATTGTCCTCCCCCTTTTAATTCATTGAGGTATTTGTGTATGTATTAGTCCAGATCCTAAGCCAAGAATATAATGATTTCCAAACTGTGATGAGAAAATTAGGTTTTAGGTGGTGTGAGTACGAAAGTTTTTACTTTTTAAATTGCATTTACACGCGCATTTGAAAAACAACTAGCACTAGTACTAGACCCACTATTTCAGAGACACTGCTTAGGGCAAACATTATTACAACCATGGTGTAAAAGTCGTGGTAAGCTATGACAAAAACTATGAGGACAAATTAAGTTTCCCTTATTAACTTGGACCGTTTACTTAACCTTCAGTATCCTCGTGAACACTACTTCACAAGCCTATTGTAAACGTTTGAGAGCTTCAGCTTTGAGAGCACAACACCTGGACCGCAGAAGCAATCTATAAATAGGAGCCACCATAATTACTAATGGGGTGGGGGACCCAAACCTGCAAGTTTTTTAAGCACACGACCCGGCAGGGGTCTGCAACCCAGATAAGGCGAAGCGGCGGCTACACAGGCGAGGCCACGCCCCTTCGCCAGCTCGGCCACAAACGCGCGCACGCGCATGAGGAAGCCGGCCTTGCAGCAGTCCCTCATCACTGAAGGGCCGCGGCCCGTACCTTTTCCGGCCCATACATGTCGTCGCCGTACTCGTTGAGCAGGCTGTAGGCCTCCTCCACGCATTTGCGTTCGTTCATGTTGCAGGTAATGAGAATGCCCTGTAGCCCGGGTTCCAACTGCCGGGGCCCGCCGCCGTCGCAGCGCCGAGCCCGCTTGGCCTGCACATACTGAGCTTTGCCTTTGCGCTTTCCGCCGCTAGACTGAGGAGGCTGCTGGACGGGGGCCGCCATTGCGCGTGAGAACTGAGGCTAGCGAGAAACGTTGTTTCTCCACTCTTCCCGGCTTCCTCGCCTCTGCTGGCGCGAGCTGGCTTGCGTCATGTGCGCGCGACGACCTCCCCTAGTCCCGCCTCCAAGTTTCATTCGGTGCTGCGCGGGGTCCTAGAGCCGGTGGGTGGCCCGCTGTGGAGAGGTGGTGCGAGGCCCGCGTATCGCGAAGGGTGACCGGCCGTTCCTGCTGCTCCCCAGCCCGTGTTCGGACTTCCTGGGAAAGCGGCCTTCGGGTGGAGCCGGGCTGTAAACTTACATGCTGGCTTCCAACTGGATGTAGATCGTGCTTATGAAGAACCGTTTCATTTACCATTCGTATTCATTGATTGATTCCGTTAATATTTATTAAGTACGTATGTGCTAGTTATGAACCTAAGTATTAAGGTTGGCAAAGCAAGACACACTCATATACATCTTGTCCTAGGCCACTGTTTCTTAGAAGTCACTGGGGGCCTTCCAAGCCATCCTACTTATTTTTTGCTCCTGGTGAAATGTGCGTAATCAATAGACTTTAGTACTCCTGTTGAAGGAGCCTCAGAAGTACAAAGAAAGGACACAAAGTAGAAGGAACTCCTAAGTCAAGAGACTTGATTATCAGAATGAGAAATATAAAATAGAGGGAAACCTGGACAAACTTCTTAGCATTAAATTGTCACTATGGGAACATTTTAACTTGTAAAATATATTTATATTCATACCCAAGATATTGTCCGTATCAATTTCTTCACACACTTTTGTTTGATGCTGATGTCATAAGTGACATTTTGGTGAGTTATTGTTCCAAGTGCACTTGGTTTGGACAGGAAATCACATCCTTACTTCTGAACAAAATCATGAAGAGCCAAAAGGGTTTGTCCTTTGTTGCCCTAGGAGGAATTATTAGCTAATCCAGTGACCCAAAAATGTGGAGTGGATGGTAGTAGAAAGTCAGAAATAAAGAACCTCTTAGTTATTGTAAGGTCTGTATCTCTCAGATTGACATTCTTGTGACCCCCATGACAAACTTTTGCTGATATGAAATAATAGTCTAGAAATTCATATACATATAAAATAATTTTTGCTAATAGTAAGGGAAAGTATTCATCTTCTTTTCTCCAATGAAATATATCTTGCTGTTTTCTTTTCTTCGTATCTGTCCCCCAAAATATTTAAGAATGCATTCATTAGTCTGGATAGGTAAGGAATCCCTTCATAGTTAACATCATAATATTCCCCATACCCTAAATTCAGGAATCCAACTCCTTATACTTCATGCAATTAAAAGTCAATTTGAACTTTATAAATCCCTTGTGTTGGTGTTCCACCTTTGACAGTGTATCGCTTTGTGAGCAAATGCAGGAGTACTGTGCATTTTACTGACCTAGATATTTCAATCTCACGTTCAGATTTAATTGTTATGTATGAAACAACAAAATACTAAGAAAAGGAAAAGTAATTAGCCTGATGTTGAACTTGATGGTTAACTGGGTTTTTTTCTTCACTATATGTATATGTAAATATGTATGTGTATGTATGTGTATAGTTGTATATATACATACATGTGTATATATATGTGTATATATTCTTTCTATAACCTTATCTTCCCTTAGGTTCTTTTCCTTAAATTACTAATATTAATACTAGTGTTCCTGATTAGTGCTAGGTGTTAACTGCCCTATTCCACACTGCAGAGTAGGACAAATGGAAAACATTCATTACCCTTTCAGGGTGCCCCATCTGGGCAAATATTGAAGCAATTTCATAAGAAATGGAATCCTTGAGGAAGTGTTTTCCAGTATGTCTTTATTTAATACTATTATTCTAGGGGATGAAGGCAGAGAAATAATGAGAAGACTGGCGTAGAACACATACAGTGACCACCTATGACTACTTCCTCTTTAGTTTTTGTCTACATTATGGCTGACATTTTTTGTTTTTGTTTGCTCAATAAATGAACCCCCTTCCTTGGGGAGGAGGTGGAATCCATCATTGGATGAGTCTGAGTGGAAAGCAGGGCCCACCTTGTGTCATGGAAGCTTGAAATATCAAGTATCCCTTCTTCCCACCCTGTAAGGTGAGCACCTCACCTCAGCTTCATCAATTGGATTCTTCTGTCTGGGACTGAGAAATTGGAAGCAAATGTGTGAAGAGGCAGTGCCTGTTGAGAATTCATCCCACCAATTGCAGCGGCATCCCAAATCCAGTATCAGCAGCTCTGCTGCCACTCCAGAGGTGGTGGCAGTGCCAGACTTTCTAGAACATTGATCTAGTTCCAGCCTCCTAGCTCCCTCAGCCATCCTTCAGCCTTCCCTATAATTCCAGCCTTACTGTGCCAGAATATGTTTCGATATTCCTTCAACCAAGAATGTTGGCTTCTGTGTTTCACGCTGCTTTCTCTGAGGTCTTCTTATCCGTAACTTCAGCAGCTTCAGCGAGTTCTTCCCATACTTCCTCAGACACAGAGTTGCTGCCAGATTTGAGCTCATACAAACCCTAAAAGAGGTAATCTGATATTGCACAAGGGGCACTGAAATACTAGTCACTAATCTTTGGTTCTAACCCCGGACCTACCACTATTTCCAAAAATCTTGTTGTCATCTTGTTTTTTGCTTCCACCTAGATAATCAGCACGGCCTTTACTTTTCAGAATGGAGATTGCATAGCATCAATTTCTGGAGGTCCTCAGTTGATTATGAACAACAGCTTCATTATGCTGGCATTGCTGGTGGTATTTAGAGGTATATTGCCGAGTGAAACTCGTTTTTATTTTTCTTTTCATCTTCAGTGCCTAGCATAGTGCCTAGTCCATAGTAAGTACTCAAAAAATGCTACTGAACATTTGAACTCAACCCAAAAAAATGTTAATAAAGGAAAAAGGTTAAGACTCATGCTATTAAGAAGGGAAGTATACCAAATCCAGATCCCATTAAGCCCCACCAGAGGAGCTAGAAAAGAAGCTAGGAATTAAGAGAGAGATTTCCCTGGCAATGCTGGAAACACATTTGTGTACAGTTTCTATTTGTGTGAACTTTCACCTCCTTAGGTTACCAGTCATGGTCAGTGGTCTGGTGTCTATCTTTGGGCACCAAGGGCTCTGTGAAGTGGCTTGTGATGGTTTAAGGAAGGAATGGAGGAATGGTTTAGACATTCTAAATTTTCTTTCCCTTTCTCTTCCTAACCTTAAAAGTTACTGCCATGTAATTTCTACTGGTATGTTGAGGACAGAATCCATCCTGGTCCCAAACACAGATAGCAGACACTCAAAGATTTTGTTCGTGTTCTGACTGCACTATCCATCCAGCATTTCCTACCTTATTTTCTTGTTACCCAGCATTTTCAGGAGTTAGATGTCTTGACCCTGTAACCCTGGTCACCTGCTGATTTGATTTCTCTACACCTGCCACCTTCACAGTTGGTATTATGTGTATGATCAAGAGATCAAATTCTAAAGCCAAACCAGGTTCAAATCCCAGTTCTGCCATGTTCTGGCTGAGGGACTCCAAGCAAGTTATAAGTCAAATTTCCTCATTAGCTTAAAAAAAAAAAATGTATTTATTTATTTACGAGAGAGAGAGAAGGGGTAGAGGGGAGAATCTCCAGCAGACTCCATGCTGACTGCAGAGCCCAACATGGGGCTCAGTCTCACAAGCCTGAGATCATGACCTGAACCGAAACCAAGAGTCAGATGCTCAACTGATAGAGCCACCCAGGGGCCCTCCCAAATTTTTTAAATGGAGGTAATAATAAAATATCCATTTTCTGGGTTATTGGGAGAACTCATTAAGATCAGGCATGACGAGTGCTTAGTTCATAGTCACAGTTCAGTCAGTGTGGACTTAAAAACAGCTGGTTTGGGGCTCAGTTGTGACTCACTGAAGTCTAGTATTTTTGGTATTAGTATCCATTCTCCAACCCAGTCCCCTGAATGCATTATTTGTCCCCTAATCTCTTATCTCAGTGTGTCACTTATTGAAAGCGAAATTTAATCCTTCTAGGAAGGAGGCCAGAAGGGAAATAAATTTTAGAAATAATACAATGTGAAGTAAAATACGATAAAGCACATAACACCTGCATGCCCTTACCTCTGCCAACTGACTCCTGCCTCGCATTGGATTGAACGACACCCTACGCCTTTCACCGGCTCTGTGCCCACAGCACTTGTGCCACATGTGCACTTTCCTCACTCCCACAAGTTGCACAGGAAACATGCCCAACAGCCTGAACCCCAGATTGGAGCCTGACTTTGAAGCCATGTGGACTTGGGTCTTTCCCTGGGGAAGCCACATTGGGTCTGGCTCTTTGTTCCTCCCTGCATCTTGGCTCAGCCCTGCTGGGTGTCCTGACTTTCTTTCTTTTTTTTTTTTTTTTTTAAGATTTTATTTATTTATTTGCCAGAGAGAGAGATAGCGAGAGCAGGAACACAAGCAAGGGGAATGGGAGAGGGAGAAGAAAGCTTCCCGCAGAGCAGGGAGCCCGATGTGGGACTCAATCCTGGGACCCTGGGATCATGACCTGAGCTGAAGGCAGCCGCTTAACGACTGAGCCACCCAGGCGCCCAAGGTGTCCTGACTTTCTGATCCCAGCCTCCCTCAATGTGCTTCATCCCACCACTGCTGGAGTCTAGTTTTGACAGGTATGCTTCTCTAAGGCAAACTTGGCATTTTATGGACATAGGTTCTTGAGGGCAAAAGTCAATAAATCTTTTTCCCTCCAATTTTCTTTTCCAGTTTTATACTCTACACATGCATTGAGTCTTTCTCCTTAAAAACTTTTCCTGAGGATTCATGGGTACTTCCTTCCTACTTCTCTGAGATTTGGTTAAATAATCTATGTTTAAATTTAATCGTTTTACTGTTTAGTTCCACTTCTTTGACCACTTCTAGGTTTTCCTCCTGCTCCTCTTTCCACTTTAGTCAGTGCTCTTAAGAATGAATCCCTAATGGTGGAATCTCAGACAGTTCACGTAAGAAACACGTAAGAAATACAGCCATTTGGAACTGAAATCGTCTATGAACTGCACACTCCACTAAGGCATAACACTAGCGCTGGTAAAGTACTAATGCAAGAAATATAAAATTCAGGGTAAGTACAGTACACATTTAAGAGTCCAGGGTGACTGAGGTTTAGAGGATCATTCAGCACAGATGAGACCTAAATAAGAATCTACATGAGTAGTCAGGTTGAATCATTATATTTAAATAAAAAGTTGGAGGGAAGTCAATGAGAATACAGCATTCAATGTACAGATGACCAGAGAGACAAGCTGATTTTAAGAATATATATGGAGAGTCAGACAGTTGTTTTGGTTTTTTTTTTTTTTTTGAGAGAGCGAGAGAACGGAGGAGAGGGAGAAGCAGATCCCAGGTCCCTGGGATCATGACCTGAGGCGAAGGCAGATGCTTAACTGACTGAGCCACCCAGGTGCCCCAAGAGAGGCAGACAGTCTTGTGTTTATATACTGACTCTACTACTTTCTAGCTCTGTGACCTTGGGCAAATTAACTGCTCTAACCTCATATTCCTCATCTGTAAAATGGGAATAGCGATAATACATATATCTTAGAGCAGAAAGTACATTCACACCCTTTGCTGGGATGGACCCTAAGGGACTCCCTCATAAGGGTTAGAGGTGCCTGGAAGAAGACCCTGGCATCACATTCCTGGGACGATGACCCCTTCTGCCTGACCAAGTGTGGAAATGAGACACATGGCAGGGCACAGAGAGTGAGACAGGGTGGACAGACAACAGAGGAGAGGCCTGCAGCCCAACACAGGGTGTTCTAAAGATGTGTGAGTATCTTGTATGTCAAGTAGACTCCCAGAAGGTACCTGGGCTTGCACAGGTAGACCCCACCGAGGATTAAAGTCACAGCCAGCATGGTAAACTCTCCTGCCCTAATCTTTTCTCCTAACCCCCAACAACAGAGTATCTAGAGCTTAGAAGTGGGAAAGGGAAAGATGTCTGGGAGACAGACAAGCCACTTGTCTCTATTTGAGGGGATACAGTGGGAGGAGTGCAGAAGAGTGGCCAGTCCTCCTGTCCACTGCTGGTCCCCAGAAGCACAGAGCAAGCCTATGTTGGGGAGAAGGGAACAGGTGCAATGTACATTGAGTTTGTGATTAAAATTTTTAAGTGGACAAACTTTTATAACTAAAAGTGATTGTGAATTGTGGGATCATCCCAAGAAGTCACTAAGAGATAGAAAAGGGATATTGGATACAGCAGGAGGAAAACAGAAATTGGGGAAAAAATTAAGTTTTGATTTAAGACTTATTTGAAAGACCTGTTACATATATATTCCACCCACTTCCCTACACACAACCCTTGTTTTGCAACACATTTGGTAACTACTTTATTCTCTATCTTTTTTTTTTTTTTTTTTTTTTGAGAGAGAGAATGAGAGCAAGCACATGAGAGGGGGGAGGGTCAGAGGGAGAAGCAGACTCCCTGCCGAGCAGGGAGCCCGATGCGGGACTCGATCCAGGGACTCCAGGATCATGACCTGAGCCGAAGGCAGTTGCTTAACCAACTGAGCCACCCAGGCGCCCCTTTATTCTCTATCTTATGTCATACTATATATTTTATTTTTATCCATATTTTATTTTTATCCATATCCATATCCATATGCTATATATTTTATTTTTATCCATATCCATATCCATGCTATATATTTTATTTTTATCCATATATTAAACTGTTGCTTTCTTGATGTGGATGCTCACCGAAGTATTTCTCTTCCTCCTGGGTCCACAGCTAGGCTAATTTCTCACCTCCCTGCAAGTGAAGATGGAGCCACTGAAATGTGAGCAGAAGTGATGATGCATGCTTCTAGGCCTAAATTCATATGAGATCCTCCACAACTGTCTCTCTCAGCTCTTTGCTCTGGCTCTTACTGTGCTGTTTGTCAGCTGGCTGATTTCCGAGGATCCAGCACAGGGCCCTTAGGAGGTGAGCTAGCCAGGAAAGCCCATCAACCCAGAACTTTTGCATTAGACTTCAGCCTCTGAGCTTTGGGTTAGTTTGTTTCTACAGCATAACTAGCCACCCTTTGAACAATACACTGGGAATCTACAGTTTGTTCAGGATGTCCTTACTCTTGTTGTTAGAATCTCATTGTCCATAGAGATGATGAACACTGTCCTTCAGATAAATTAATAAGACAGCTCACAACAAAGTGAAGAGAATATGGGTTTTGAAGTAAAAAGACCTGATTAGAAAGCCCAGTTCTGTTATTTTCTTTTAGACTCAGAGGGAAATCCTGGACCAGTGGCCAGGCTTCTGTTTCCTTGCCAGGACACCATGAAATGCCTCTTGCTCCCTCCTTACAAAATGTATATGAAATAGAATTAAAATTCTTCCGTCTGTAAGTAGTTGACAAAAGAGTTGAGACAGTTCTATAACACTCTGCCCTTTTTCCTGTAGAGCAGTTTTTGAAAATGTTTTTATTTTTGAAGGGGATTACACTTCAGTTGAGTACTAGAGAAGAAAACCTGATTCCATTCCAGAGAATCCATGGAATAATGGATATAGGAAATGATTGCCCAAAGCTTCATTAGGTGAAAAGCTGATGGAACCTTGTCATGGATGGATCAGGCTAATACCTTAACATCACAAAAGGTGAGCCAACTAGACATTATGTTCCCCAGATGTCATGCAATAGTAATTACACAATACTATTTATGCAATCTTTTTGCTAAATACTGATCTGGCCTCTAGATATATCAGTTTACAGAAAGTACAGGGACAGAAAGATAGGTTAAATTAAGCCACAGGTTTGAATTACTAAAGTGAATTAAACGATACGATTTTTAGATTTGTTTCCAAGTAATGCAAGGAGAGGGAGGGGTGGGTGGGGGTATAAATGAAACAAAATTGGCCATGTGTTGACAATTGTTGGAGCAGAGTGATGGATACACAGGGATTCGTTATACTATTCTAAGCTATTAGTATATATGGTTGAAATTTTTCCACAATGATGGAGAAAGAGACAGAGAATAAAGAAGTAAAGACTGTAAGTGGATAACTATTTTCAGAAATTTTGCCATAAAAAGGAGAAGAGGAATGAAGAGTTGGAAGAGGACAAGATACTGTAATAAAGGAGATATTACCATGTGTTTGTCGCTGACTGTCTCTTACTACAATTCCTAGTCCAAACAAAAGGAAGAAATGGATGGTACAGGAGAGAGGTAACTGAGGAGTGATGTTCTTGAGTAGGGGAGAGCACATGATGTCAAGGACTCAGTGGAGAGGGTGGCCCAAGGTAGGAACTTGACAATATTCATTGTCACAGGAAGGAATGCAGAGGGTATGGGCAGAGTTGTAGGAGTATAGGTTGATGAGGTGCTGTGGGGTTGAGGACATTCTCTTCTGGCTACTTATCAATCTCAGCAAAATAAGAGGGAAAGGAGAGGTGAAGATTATAGAAACAGAAGGTGTGATATGGTTATCTCCAACTATAGATATGCAATGGGGTTATCAAGCAGTGAGGAGGGCCTGCTTGTTAATTCTTAAGACTATTAGCAAGTACCATCAACATCCTAAGTGCAGAACCGTGTTTCCCCGCAGAACCATTTCTCCAGAACCATGTTAAGCTGCTCATGGGCAGTCTCAGAATAGGGAGATAGCAATCTGGAGTTTTGCAGAGAGCTGGGTTTTGCCAAATGAGTATGGGGAGGGAGAGCAGTGCAAAGGAGCTGAGTAGTACCTAGAATCCAAGATGGGCAAGAGTAAGTGAGGGCATGAAGAAGACAGTGTTCAGAGTCAATGGACTAAAGATTTTAGTGGGGTCGAGGAATTACCATGATAAAAATAGTAAAGGCAAACAAACTGACAAGACAGGAGGAATTAACTAATTCCTAAAAAGTGGGGGAGGATGTTGAAACATTTTGGAAGTAGTACTATTGGTGGTAATAAGAAGGTATAGGGTATGGTTTAGGTCATGATCCCAAGGCTCAATCCTGGGATCGAGCCCTGCATCGGGCTCCTTTCTCAGTGGAGAGTCTGCTTCTCCCTCTCCCTCTGCCTGCTGCTCCCCCTGCTTGTGCTCTCTCTCTGCCAAATAAATAAAATCTTTAAAAAAAAAAAAAAGAAGGTATAGGGTACAGTCACAAGAATGGGAGACTAAGGCTCTGTAGGATCGAGGTCATTGGGAGACAGGATCTCAAGGGAATGAAAGACCAGGATATTAAATGGATTGTTCACATGAGGGCTGAAGTTAACTGAGACAGAGCAGAGACTGGACTCAGGTCCCCTCAATCCTCACCACAAAATCCAGCAATCCTTGCTAGAACTCTACTCTTGCAGGAATGTGAAAGCAGGATGCTTACCAAAGAGGGACTTGACTACAAAGACTGGCAAAGATCAAATCAAACCAGTCCGCAAGGTGGACCCCAGTGCTGACCTTTCACTGACTTTCCCCCTCATTATAGTACTAAAAAATGAGCAGGGTGGAGATTTAACATGCTAATGAGACACGATGCATGAAGTAGCATGTTCTGTCCCCTGTGCCAGGTGTGCCCAGCTTCCTGTGTCTCTCCCCACCCCTACATGCTTATGTAGGTGAGGTCTGGAGCCAACAGCCAAGAAAGAATTCTTGAGATGTCTTTCCTGCAAAAGGTGGTTTTATTTATTTATTTGTTAAGATTTTATTTATTTGTTTGACAGAGCGCGCACTAGAGAGAACAAGCACAAGTGGAGGGCAGAGGGAGAGGGAGAAGGAGAAGCAGGCGTCCCACTGAGCAGGGAGCCCACATGGAGCTTGATCCCAGGACCCTGCCCTGAAGGCAGACGCTTAACCTACTGAACCACACAGGCGCCCCAAAAGGTGGTTTTATTAAAGCAAAAGGACAGGACCTGTGGGCAGAAAGAGCCGCACTGGGGCTGTGAGGAGCAATTGATTATATATACTTTGGGGTTGGGGGAAGCAAAGGTAAGGGAAGCTTGAGAAGGATTTTCATCTGCTAAAGAAGACTCACAGGAGACCCGAGGCCTTGCTATTGTTTTTCCCTCTAGCAAGGCATTAACATTAAGACAGTTGGCAGCTTCCTGGAGGAACATTATACTCTGCCCGCCTCAAGTATTTGTCAATGGGCTCCGGGTCATAAGGACATTTAATTTTATCTACTTTTCCTTCTGGAAGTTAGGTTATTGATAAGAATGCTTTTTTCTTGTAAATTACTAAGACATTTATAAACTGAGGGAGACTCTTATCTTGCAGGACTGTAATCTCTATTAGTTAACCATTTGTTTTTCCTTCCCTTAGCTTTAGGGCAGCCAGGAGTGCCTGGGGAATGTCACACAGATACCACCTTGGGGGGGGGGGCGGGGCGGGGGGGGGAGGTTGTGGGGTGTTAGCTTGTGCTCTGTCCTCAGCTTGCCTTCTGCTCCCTCATCACTTAGAAGTCACTCCTTTCCTGCCTTAGCTTCTTTAAAAACTTTCCCGGCCTTTGTTCTGAGAGCCAGCATGGAAGACCCTCTCCTTTGTGGTGTCTCCCTTGTGCTCAAGCATAAGCCCCAGTAAGAGCCTTGCCTGGAAATTCCCATTTGGCCCCAGTCAATTTGTACTGCTTGGAGTGCCCAAGGACCCAAGTCAGTAACATTACCAACAAGAATGATGGAGAATGACCAATAATTGAGAATGACCATAAACTAGCACTAAAGAGAAAGAATCTGCAGAATAATAGAACACATCTTGTTCCAGGTAAGACCTGATATAGGACTAACAACATCAAAACATCTCTGGCTGAAGTTAATTAATGAATAAAGAAAAAATCACATAAGCACCCAGGCAGAGTAAGTGAGGCTCTATAATACTACGTTTGAATCCATTTCTGACACGAACTGACATTAGCATCAGATCCCATAGGTTTAAAGGCACAGTCCCCACAAGACTTTCCTTACTTCAGATGTTAACTGCAAGTTCGGGGGTCCCCAGGCCACCCAAACCTCTGGCCAACTGGCTACAAAATCAGGGGGTCCCACAACTCCTTCATGTTCCTTAAGCCACTAGAACTCAAAGAAGAGCTATACTTAGGATTACAGTTTTATCAGGACCAGCCAAATGAAGAGAAACAAACCACAAAGTCTGGGAGGGTCCCAAACGTAGAGCTTCCATGCCCCCTCCCTGTGGAATCGGGGCATATCACCCTCCCAGCATATCTGATGTTGTTCACCAAACAGGAAGCTTCACTGAGTTTTTATCAGACAATCATTAGCTAAGTGACTGAAGTCAATCTCCAGTCCGCCTTCTCTCCCCAGATATGGGGCTAGCTTCAAAGTTCCAACCCTGTAATCACATGGTTGACCTTTCTGGTGACCAGACCCTTTCTCCTGAGTCACCTTGCTAGCATAAACTCGGGTGTCATTTAAGGGGTTTCATGAATAACAAAGGCACTCTTTTTCACAGGAATTCTAAGGATTTAGAGTCTCCAGTGACAGGAACCAAGGACAAAGCCCAGGCAAGTTTTTTATTATGCAACAGACACATACCAGGAGAAAAGAACTTGGTTGACCTTGGCCTTACCCAAAGTAATATTTAATGCCAAATAACAGTGGAACAAGGTCCACAATCTTCTCAGGGAAAGAAAATTTAACATAAGAAACTCAAACCCAGCCAAGTTATTCTCTATATAAAGTCAGTAGACAGGCATTATCAACTAAGCAAGGGAACACAGTTATTATAAGCACTTGTGAAGAAAAAAAAAATCTACTAGATGTTAAATTCAGCTAATAAAGAAAAGCAGTAAAGAATACAAGGAAAGAGAAGCTATGTGAAAAGGACTATTGGTGAGCATTGAATCCCACTTAGACATTAGATCAGGGTTTCTTAGCCATAGCCCTTAGGTTTGGGGCTGGATAATTAATTCTTTGTTATAGAGGCTGTCTTGTGCATTGTAAAATGTTTTAACAGCACTCCTAGTCTCCACCCACTAAAATGCCAATAGCATTCCCCCCAGGTGTGACAACCCAAAATGTCTCCAGACATTGCCCTATATCCCCCTAGGGCACAACTGTCCCCAGTTGGGAATCAGTGACATAAACTAATGCTTGATAATTGAGGAAGTTATGGTTACAGAAGAGAATGCACAGGCCTCCAAACCTGACAATAATATAACAAAAATCAAGGGGCTAGGGGAAGGGAGATAAGAGAAACAGAATGTATCAATTGATTAATTTCTTTTTTTTTTTTTTTTTTTTTTGAGAGAGAGAATGAGATAGAGCATGAGAGGGGGGAGGATCAGAGGGAGAAGCAGACTCCCCGCTGAGCAGGGAGCCCGATGCGGGGACTCGATCCCGGGACTCCAGGATCATGACCTGAGCCGAAGGCAGTCGCTTAACCAACTGAGCCACCCAGGCGCCCTCAATTGATTAATATATTGATACAGTTTAATTAGAAAAATGTAGTTTTAAAAATTACTCCAATCACTTAACTTTGGTGGGATCTTTTAGGAACTAATGACATGTCTAGTTAAGAAACACCTACCTGGGGGGTGCCCTGGTGGCTCAGTCGGTTAAGCATCTGACTCTTGATCTCAGCTCAGGTCTTGATCTCAGGGTCATGATTGCAAGCCCCACACTGGGCTCCACACTGGCCATGGAGCCTACTTAAAATAAAAATA